TATCCTGGTATCAAATAATCTATTACTCAATATTATTTTTTATTCTCTCACTTTTTCTAGTCTCTTACAATACTTTTAGATTCTTCAATCTCAAATTTCTATTTTCTGCCAAAAATATTCCAATTTATATTGTATATTCTTTAATAATATTAGACTATTATGTTTCACTTCATAAAATGACAATACTTTTGAATCTGTGAGTAATGTTAATTTAAATGCAATTTAATATAGTCTCTACTCTTACTCTTCTATGTAAAGAATTCTTAAAAAATTCTTATAATTTTGAAGTGGCTTATCTTCATAATTTACATCATACATAAAACCTATTCTTAAACAACTTCAAATGTATATCTCTACCATCTGACATCTTACCTGATTAATAAGAAATATATTATTCATTCAAATCATTCTTATTTAGATTATCTTTATAGGATGAATAAACTACCAAAACCATATGCAATATCAAATAACAATCCCAATTTGAAATATCCCATAATCACAGATTTTTTAATGTAAATTAAAATATTAACATATTTATCTAGCTGTTACATATATTATTAAATTATCATTCTTTTATATATTCATTAAGAGTTTGTAAATATTATTAAGAATTTAGGAATCTAATACTGATGAATTACATTCCAAAAATTATTTCATATCCAAATTTTTGGAATTTAGAAATTCAATAATTTCTTAAATATGTAAGCCATTAAGACAGTTGTCATTACAGGGGCTAATAAAGGTATTGGGTTTGGCATTCTTGAAAATCTCATTCAAAAATAGGCATATAGAGTCATTATGGCTTGTAGATCTATTGAATTAGCCTAAAAGTCTAGAACCTAATTGATTGAAAAATACAATGTATTACATCATTTTTATTTTTTATTAGCTTTCCCAAGACAGAATAGACACTATCGAATTAGACATCAGTAATAGTGATAGTATTGACAAATTCATAAAGGAATTTACAACAAGATTTCACTAAGCTGATATCTTGATTAACAATGCTGCAGTAGCAGTAAAATCAGATGATTTCAATCTAGAAATTGTTCAATTCACCTTTAAACCTAATTTCTATGGCACAAGTATCAATATTAATTAAAATATTCTTTAGTCGAATTAACTGAGAAATTCCTTCCTTTGTTGACTCAAAATGGAAAAGTCATCACAGTTGGATCTTCTGCTGGTAAAACAAAATATTTGAAATCTGATGATCTCATTAAAAGATTCAAAGATCCAAATATAACTAGAGAAGATGTTTTCAAGTTGGCTGAAGAATTTTAAAAACATGTTTCTGATAGTATTTTATTTTTTTATAATTTAGATACATATGAAAAAAATGGATGGCCAAGTTGGGGATATGGAATCAGCAAATTACTTATCAATACTTATGTCAGAACTTTAGCCTAAAATGCTGAAGTTAAGAATAAGAATTTATAAGTTTACACATGTTGTCCTGGATGGGTTAAAACAGACATGGCTGGAGATGAAGCAGAATTAACAATTGATCAAGGAGCATTGACACCTGTTTATTTGGTAGAATTACCACATGAAGTGAATCCAGATTATTAAGGATAATTCTTCTATCTTTAGAAAGTAGAAGAATTATGATATTATTAAATCACAGTTAAAAGAATCAAGAATTATTATTATAATTTTCTAAAATCATTAAATTCTCATGCTCTTAATTCACTTATTCTATAATTTAAATTTTAGTTGATATTTATATGATGAGCGATTAATTTAATTTATCATTATTTTATTTTTAACCATAATATGACGATGTATCGAATTTTAAATTAAATATATTATTGAAATACAATTGTTTCTAAAATAAACTTAAGTTTAGCATTAAGACAGTTATATATTAACATGATGATAGAAACATAGATTTGTTAAATTAAATTTTATAAAAATAAAAGGGGAAATTTTTACATATCTTTTTAATTAAGTTAATATATTATTAATACTACGTGTTTAAGTGATAAAATATCTTTTTTTCTAGGCAATAAATTTAATATCTCATAATGCATACAAAACAAAAAAGTGTAGGCTAATTATTCTTCAGAAGTGTGTTCAACAGTTCACACGGTCTTTTAAAGTAAAGAATGAGAGATCTTGTGCCAGTAAAATAAGCTTTGCTTCGTGATGTGAGAAAGAGATACGGATCAAAGGAAATCTGTAAAGTCACAGTAGATCAAGCCATCGGAGGTATGAGAAATGTGTTTGCTCTGTTCTATGATGCATCTTTGTTAGATTCTAAGACTGTAAAGATTTAAGTATGAATGTTCTTAGGGTATCACAATGAGAGATTACAATATCCCTGAATTGTAAGAGTACCTTTAAAAAGCAGAAAATGGTCATGAGCCTCTTCCTGAAGCTTTATTCTGGTTATTATGCACAGGAGATTTCCCATGTAAATATATATAAATTACTATGTTTAGCCGAACAAGAATTTGCTGATGTGTAATAAGAATGGAAACAAAGAGGGTAATTGGATTCTTAAACCTAAAACTTTATTTTGAGTTTACCAAAATAAGCCCATCCAATGACAATGTTGTCTCAAACATTATTGTATCTATAAAAGGATTCCCTTTTCTAATAAGCTTATGATTAAGGAAAAATTGCTAAGCCTTAATATTGGGAATATTTCTATGAAGATGCTATGAATTTATTAGCCAAAATTCCAAGAGTGGCTGCTATGATTTATAGACATAAGTATAAGGTATATGAATTGTTATAAAATAGAATGGTGAAATCATCTCAGCTGATGAAAATTTAGACTGGGCAGGTAATTATGCACACATGCTTGGATACAACAAATTTGAAGTTAGAGAATGCTTAAGAGGATATTTAAGCATTCATGCCGATCATGAAGGAGGTAATGTGAGTGCTCATACAACACATTTGGTTGGTTCAGCATTAGCAGATCCATATTTGTCATATTCTGCTGGTGTTAATGGTTTAGCTGGTCCCTTGCATGGTCTTGCAAATTAAGAAGTTCTTAAATGGCTATTGGAAATGAGAGTATTACAATTCTTTATATTTATTATAGGATGAATTAGGTGAAAATATCTCAAATGAAAAAATCTAAGATTACGTTCTTACTACAATTAGAGAGGGTAAGGTTATTCCAGGATATGGTCATGCTGTCCTTAGATACACTGACCCACGTTTTATTCATTAAAAAGATTTTGCTGCTAGACACATTAAAGATGATCCCCTAGTTGATTTAGTAAGATAATGTTATCATGTGATTCCACCTGTTTTAAAAACTATTGGAAAAATCTAAAACCCATGGCCGTAATTATTTATATGATCTTAGAAATGTTGATGCACATTCTGGTGTCTTATTATATCATTATGGAATGAGAGAATTTTAATACTACACTGTTGTCTTTGCTGTTTCAAGAGCTTTAGGATGTATGGCTAATCTTATTTGGTCCAGAGCATTTGGTTTACCTATTGAGAGACCAGGATCCATTACTATGAGATGGATCGAAGAAAAATATGGTGACAATTAAAATTTTAAATGAGAATCATTTCATTATTAATATCATATTACACAATTTTACTTATATCTTAGAAAGACATTTAACAGATATCATACTTAAGAATTCAAAATCTTCTTCACTCTCTTTATTTTAGAGGAGACAAAGCATTTTATAGTGTAATGTATAGGCTTGCTCTTTTTCAATCTATGGAATTTGTTCATTCTATACTTTCATTATTAATTGTACCTTACTATAACATTATCATAGTTATTATGTGGATTATAATACTTAAATAAATGCATCTTTTCAAATTTATTAAAAACAATATCAGTCTATTAATAGTTATGATTCTATAGATATATCAAATAAAATACTTCAGGAGTATTAATAATTTAGAATTGAGACATCTAATTCATGATACTCACCTTAGTACCAGTTTTAGTGCTTTTTTTTCTATTAGTATGTCTTTGTTGTTCTGAGAGTGATTAATCACTATGCGATGCTCTTTCGTCCTTTTTTTTTTATGGAGGAGGTTATTGAAATTGTGTTGGAGAGACTCTAGCAGATTTAGTATTAGCTTTAGAATTACTTGAGGGATTGTTGGATAAATTATTGGATAATGGATTGGAATATGTGTTTGATCGATTTGAGGTCTATCTAATAGAATTCTATTATTATTGTTAAAATTATATTTGATCCTCCATTTATCCAGATTATTATTATTGGTATCTAAAAGTTAATTTAGTATGCATAGAACGAGCAGCAGTATAGAGATGATTTTTTTTAGCAAAGGCTTGAGAACCACTACTTTATTTGCTTAATTAATTTGTATCCTCTTGTTTTGAGTTGAGAGAATCCAATTATTTACTTTAAGATTATTCAGTAATTACTTGAAGTTTATCTTTGTGTAAATTTTCTATCATAAGTAATTTAACCTTAAATACCTAGAGTTTCAGACATGAAGGGAAATCCTGCAGTTCTTAAAGTAGTTTTATTTTATTATTTTCTTAATTGACTGTTAAGTACTGGATCTATAGCTAAATCTTCATAGAATTGATCTCCATCACTATCAGGATTATCACTCAAATGATCTGGACTATATTTATGTACTGATTGGGTTTTACTCAAATAACTTGGGGATTGCTAGGTTTAATCTATTTAAAATTAATATATATAAATACTTTCACTATAAGGTAATTATGATGACATAGGGAAGTCTTCTGATGTCATTACTTCTTAAGATAATTTCTATTAGTATTGTTTGGCTCTTTCACCTACAACAAATAACATCGATAATGCTTTTGGTTCTTTATGTTTCCTTTCACTCTTAAAACGTTATTGTGGATGAGGGTATATATGTTTTTCAATTACATTTAATCTTTTTGGATAATATTGTAAGTATTGACATTCAAATAATAAGTGACCCTTTATTTTGCAATAATGACATTCAAACATGTTATGATTCTAATAACAATTATCCTTGAATAAACAAAAAATCTCATTATCTTAAGGAAAAGTCTTTATAATTTCCAAGAAATCTGATCTTCTCAATTTTAAAACTGTACTCAATCCTTAACTATTTATAGAAATGTAAGGAGGAATTCCACTTACAAAAGAAAACTCACCAAAAGTCTATCCTTCTTATAAAATATGAAAAGTTCTTTTTGGTTTACCTTGAAAATATCCTTAAAATTATATTTTCACTTTTCCTTTCAAAATAAAATAGAGACAGAAATCTTCAATTTAATGTTCCTATATAATTTTGAATAGTATCTGTTACCTAAATAATATTCTCTTCTGGATTATACTATGCAATCTCAAACCAATAAATTAGTTGTTATTTCAAACTAGATGAAAACCTTTTAAACAATTTAATTTTATCAACCATTTTAGAACGAATAGAAACTTAAAGTTCTTCTTAAAGGCCTGGAGATAACTTTTTGGCTAAAAGATCTCTGGTCTTAATGATGTCTTCCTAATCTTAGATTGATGATAATCATTACATCAATAACATATTCTAAATATGAGTAACAACGACATTGTAATCCATAATCAATGTTTTTATCTTTAATTCCATTTAAAAATGAAACAAGATGTTTCTCTTTCTCTTCTTCCAATTTTATTATTGGTTTGATCCAAATAAATATATTAGATGCTGTATAAATCATTGTAATTGAGCTAATAATCATAAAGCTTTGCAAAAGTACAGCATTCTAAGGAGTCACTTCAATAGATATAGCACCATTATGTGTTAATATGGATACTGCTAATGACAGTGAATAATGAATTCCTTCATCTTATTCTAATAAACAAGCAAATGTCATTATTAATACTACCCAAAGTATTATAATATAAATTATTAATTAAGTTGAAGTGTAAATGTTTTCAAAACGTTCGCCTTATCTTATCAATTACAATACCATATAAGGTATGATGACGTATTTAAGTTCATATTAATATGAGAATATTAAAATTACTACTGCAGCTAATCTACCTAAATCTAGGATCATTTTAGAATTATCAATGTATTCACTATTAAACTTACCCTCAATTATTTGAAAAGGTCCTCTTTTAAAATGAAGATCGGCAGCTATTTACAAAATTGCTAAACCATGTATTAAATATGTTAAAAATTCATAGCTAGCTTCTCCAGCAATTTGAAGTGGAATAAATATTGATGAAATTAATATGATGATTGATGTTAATCCAAAGTAGAAAATAGTGAACCATTTATACATTTAAGGTTAGACTATTTATATTTAAATTTATTACTCTAAGCTTAATCATCAATCAATGTTACATCTTTTAATTAACTCCATTGTATCTTACTTTTTATACGCTAAACAAATTTATTTACTAAGTTCTTTACATGAAAAGAATTTAGACTAGATTATTTATTTTTATTCATCAATTTTGACTAAACCTACATTATAAATTATCAATTTACAGATTCAGATTATTATAAATCTTGAGGGTCTAATAAAGAAACATCCATAAATCTACTACCACTGTTATTTTCAACAACTTTTATTTTTGATTCCTATTATAAAGAATTCTTATCCAAACTTTTGTTTGAATGCATATTAGTATAAATTGTTGGTATTTTCATATCACTCCCACTAAAATCACATGGCTATTAAATTTATGAATTCATTATTGGTAATTTTGGCTTAGGCTATAGCATACTTGAAGATGACTGCTCTTCATCTTCCTCTTAAATCGATTTGCTATTCTGATAACCCATCGTTCTTGATATTCGTCTTTAAGGAAAATGTTCAATTGGATCAAGGTCTTAAAATTCTTCAAATTTTTTAGTTAACTACATTATATATATTAAATCAGTTCTTTATTATGCAATCATAATCTGCTTATCCTTTCATTGAAGATCCACTTCCCTTTCCTCTTTTTAATTAAAACTTCTTTAGCGAGTTTTCTTAAACACCTAAACTTATAGGAAGCCTCAATCAAGAAATGCTACATCTTAATCACAAATGCTGTTACAAATGGCTAAATTAACCAAGAGATGAATGGAATTTTGAAAACGAAATAAGAATGCTTGTCATAACTTGGAACATGCATGGTATGATTCCAAAACATTCATTAAAAAGACTTTTCAATATTGATATTTTGCATCATGATCTTATAGTTATAGGAACCCAAGAATGTTAACGTAGCATAGTTACATCTTTATTTTGTGAATCAAAAAGTGAATGGGAAGTAAAATTGCAGAATGAATTAGGAAAAACTTATTTTAAAGTTTAATCAGCAACACTGAATGCCATGCATATTATTGTCTTTGCTCATAGATCTTTGATACCAAGAATAAGTTTTAGTAAATCCTATACTCTCTCTTAAGGATTTATGGGAATTGTAGGTAATAAGGGTGGAATTGCAGTATCAGTAAATATCAATGACAAAATCTATTTATTTGTTAATAGTCATTTAGAAAGTGGACAAAATTCAGAATCAAAAAGATAGACTTAATTTTCTAAATTGGAAAGTCATTTTGAAAATTTAGTCTTTTCTAATCATAATCAAATGGAATATGATTATCTTATATGGACTGGTGATTTCAATTCTAGAATTGAAGAAAATATTACATCTTAAACAATAAAATCTCACTCAGATTTTTTTGGTTGGTTAGGAAAAGATTAAATGTATCTTAGTCGTCATAATAAATTAAGTAATTTTAGTTAATACTCAAGACTATTAATCTTAATTTTAAGAAGGAATGATATTTTTTCCACCAACTTACAAATTAATAGAAAATTATAATTCATGGGCAGTAGATTAAGATTTTAGAATACCAGGTTGGTGTGATAGAATTATCTTCAAAGAAAATAAAAAAATGTCTATACAATCTACAATCAATAACTTTAATGAAATGACAAGTAAATTAAAATTGTAAAATTATGATGCAAATTTCGATGTATTAGGAAGTGATCATAGGCCAGTATTTGCTTAATTCACTATTGCACTTTGAAATGATATTAAAATAATGATTTTTTAATGAAAAAGGATTATCTTTATATATTTTTCTTTAAATTTATCTCATTCAATAATAATGCTCTCTTAAAATAAAACCATTAATCCAGGATTGTCAGATAAGAAAGATCTTAATGAAGATGATTCTAAAATGATGATTTCAGTTTCTTCAACAGCCTCAACTATTGTATTTGTTCTTCTATTATTAACAATGGAATCAATCTCTCCAAAAAACATTCCACTTGTAAGAGGATAGGTCTTAATTATAATAATTATTATTGTATACTTTTATTTCACTTAAAGATGATTTCTCTGAAATTTCAGGAGTTTAAATATTTGGTTTTTATTATTCAAGCATAGCTAAATTGATTGGCAAGGAAAGTCTTTTCTTTTTTTAATCAATAATTTATTGTTACTATTATCTATTTTGATCACTTGTTATTGAATCTTCTCTCTTCACTTTAACAGATTATCCCTCATACTATTATACTACATAATCAGAAGGTAAAATAACTTATGCTTTACCAGATACTACAAAAAACGCAACTGTAGCCATAACTCCATATTATTAAATTGTAGAATGTTTCTAATAAATTCTTTTTTGGTTTAATAACATTTCCATTTGAATCTTTTAATAGGATGTGAGTTACTAAAAGAATTTATTTTTTTCCATAATTTAAGTTTATGAACGGACTATTTAGAGGTTCTCTAATTTTTACATTACTTCTCCATTTTAGAATATTCTCAAGAAATCAGCCTTACTTAGAGTTATCAATTCACAATAACCCATAGCAGTTGCATTAGCCTTCCTCTTATTTTGATTAAAGAAACATCCTTCACCAAAATAATCACCATAATGTAAATATTTGACAAATGCAGGATTTTCGGAATGTATTTTAACAGTTCCTTTACGTATAATATAAAATTCATTTGCAATTTCATCGTAAACACAAATGTTTTAATTCTATTGAAAAGACTTAATAGTTTAACTTTCAAAAATCTATCTTACTTAATGAATATTAGCATGTTTAAATAAATCAATATTTTCAATCAGACTTAATTCTTAAATAGCATTTAATCTAGAATCTTCACTTTGATTAATTAAAATAATTGTATTTTCTAATCCAACTCCTGGAACTCTTAATCCAGAATCAGGAGGAATATCTTTAGCAGCAGTATGAATTAATCTAATATTTTCTTTAACTTCAGTTGGAAGTTAAGCCAATATTTTAGCAGGTGTATGGATAGGAGGTACACCTGCTTCGTGTAAAATGAGAGAATTTTTCCATTTATCTTCACTTATTAAGAAATTATATCTTGATTCTGATATTATTCCTTTATCAAAAATAGCCTTTAAACCATTAGGTTCATAAAATGTATCGCCACTAAAATATATAGATTTATCTCCTAATCTTACAGTAAAAGACAAACAAGGAATACTATGTAAAGAATAATGAAATTCAAAGGATGCTCCATTTATTTTTAAAGGATTTCCTACTATAACTCTTTCGAAATTAAAAAGTGATTCAATATAATTAATTGAAAAACCAGTGACAGCAGCATATTTTCTAACAAAACTTTCTTTTACTGTTGCAGTACTTATTAAAATTGTTTTTTCTGATTCTAATAATTTTTAAAATGTGCCTGCATCATGATCAGCATGATTATGAGATATAATCACCCATTTTACTAGTCTACTAGGTATTCCATTCTTTCTCAATAAAAGTGTTGTAAATGGAGGTGGATCTAACATAACTCCTAAACCATTTATCCAAAAAATATAGCCTGATACTGATCCTTTTGGATCAAATCCATGTGAACAACCCAAAACTGTTACTCCAAAAGTTGGAGGTGTAAATGTCTATTCAAAATAGTGTTCAACATTTTATTAATCATTAGGATTACTAAATAATCCATATTTTATATAAGCATTTGATTTTGCATCATCAATTAATATTTCAACTTTATTTTTCATTTTTGCTATCTATTTTCCATTTTCATATATCAAAAATTTTTAATCCTCCTTTCTTACTATCACATCCTAACCTAAATTAACTTAATTTTATTCATCAAAAATTAAAAAATTGACTAATAAATCAACAGTTAATGGTTCATTAGGATTGAAAGGATTTTTAGCAAAATGCCCTAATTCTTTCAATATATCAGGTTTAAACTTGTAATCATTACTAAAATCATCATCAAATTTAGATAAATCTTTTGGTCCAAGTAGAGTTTCTTAAAATATTGCTCTAATTGCTTCTTCACCTTCCTTATCTGTTATCAAAGTTACTCTTCTTCTCTTTACAAAAAAACTGAAATAAGCAGGAAATTCAAATTCTGCAACAGATAAACAAAATCTTTTATCGAATCTATGTGAAGGAACAATAAATATTCCAGGTACATCCAAACCTAAATTGATACTATCTTTTAATGTTTCTGGAACCATACTGAATTATATAGCACCAACCTTTGTCATTACAACACTTCCACCTCTTGGTAATTTTATTTTATTTGACAAGTCACTCTCTGAAAACTAAGACTCAGATTTTAAAAGTATGGGATTCTTAATTTAATTACCTTATCTTGTATCCTCACTTTGACTATCATTCTCTGAACTGTCATCATGATGAGAACTAGTGATTGAAGCATATTCAAGAACTTCTTATTCATTTACGAAATGACAAGCCATTTTAATCTGATATAAAAATTATTTATTAGCTATGTGATATATGAAATAAATATATATAGAAACCTTTTCTTTTATTTGTTTTGTTTAATCAATTTAAAAAATGGAATTTTTATTACAATTCTTAAAATTCCTAAATTATATATAAGTTTAAAAAGGATTAAATACTTATTATGAATAATATATAAGAATTTTTAGTTTAGAAATTTTTTGAGCCTTCTCAAGATGTGATAAAAATGATTGCCTAAAAAGAGTTTCTATATATAGCATATTCAAATGAGATTATTGTCCTGTCACTTAAGCGTTTAACTCAAAGAAAGGATATTATAAAGAAAAAAATAAGCTTTTAAGAGATTCAAAAATTTCAAACATTTGATGCTTTAACTAGTGCTTTTAATGATAATGATTAAACAAAATTTATTGGATTAGCATACAAGAATGATAGCTATCCAATTTTATATAGTAGCAATCTTGAAAAAAGAATAATATCACTTAATTCTGAATAGCCATAGATAAAAGATTTCTATGTAATAGAAGAAAAAGTAATAGTTTTGTGGAATAATGGAGCATTAGTTACAGATCAAGAATTAATGTTTGACAATGTTAAGGCAATATCGAGTTGGAATAAGAATTTAGCTGTTTATAGAAACAATGAATTATTGATTGGAAACAATAAATTAAATTTAAATTAAGAGTATAAAGACGAGATAATGTACTCGCATTCTATTTTGGTTTTATATAATTCAAATTAAATACTTATTCATGACGAAAAAAGCACAAATCAAATAGCCTTTTCTGGAGCTTTATAAATAGATGTTATTGATTAAGATACTTTATATATATTATGCGGTACATAGATTTAAATGTTCAAAATAAAATCAAAGTAAATGCATATAAAATTGGAACTGCCTTTTATAAGCAAATTTTATAGAATTAATGAATAAGACTTCTTGTTTAAGAATGGAAAATTATGGATTGCCAAGAAATGGAATAAAATTAATAGAGTTATTTCGGTTTGTAAATCATACAATCAAATTTTAGAGTTTGTATGTCTCAAAGAATAAGTAGGATAATCAATAAATTGTGTTATAATGGATAAGGATCCAAATGAGATTTGTAAATTGATGATTCAACCCTCATTAGATAGTAATTTTTAACAACCACTTGATTTCAATGATTTCAAGATATATTACTTTTATATCAAAAAGGAAGTTTTATGTTTAGAGATTGCTATATCAATTTATGAAAAGAAGATGAAAGTTTAAGATTAATAGTTACAATAGTACAAATTTGAGGATATAAAGAAAGCAACAGGATAAGCTGTTATTAATTTATTAATGTTACTTGGTGAGTATGAAATCTAAAAGGAATTTTATAATGGTGTATATTTATAATATCTTCAGTTGAAGCCAATTAGTGAAAAAGTAAAAATATAGATTGCTGTTGTTAAAAACAAGTTTTTACCAAGTCTTTTAAGAAAAGAGGATGTTTGTCCAATTTGTCGACAACAATTGATAACATGGGTTACATGTCCGACTCATAGATTCATAAGATGTTAAACTACACTTGAACCAATATATTTATAATAACTTTATGTTTGCAGAGGTTGTGATTTAAGATCCATCGAACCAATTAAAGTGTGTCCTATATGTGGTTGTGAGATGAAAAAATTATTAAAATATTGAATAAGATTTAACTAAAATATTATTATAATAATAATCCAGTTAACAAAAGTAACCATACTAGTTGAAAGAGAATGAGATTTTGAGGCAAGAGAGGAAAAATGAATTAAGAAATGAAAGTTTAAGAAATGATTATAATTGTATAACTTGTAAAGAATATATAATATATATATATATTTCAATATGGAGTTCCCAGTATTGAGTGGTTTATGCGGTTCATTAGCAAGTTATGCAGGTAAGATTATAATTGTGTATCTAGGTAAAATTGCTTTTCAAGATGAATCATAATTGATATTTAGAGCAGTTGGGTTGATTTTAATGTTGCTTTTCAATAAATGGATGTTTTAATTCAATTTAAAGTCATTGCAAATAAATGGATCATCAGTCACAGTGTTGTTACAATTTATAGTGGGTAATCTGATAAATGTAAGAATGAAATGATTGAGTTAGGGACTGAATGGATATTTTCTATTGAGTGAGTCATTGTCATTGTAATGGTTTATTGGAATTATATTTATGTGTTTGGGAGTTTATATGATATCAAATGAAAAACATGAGCACTAAAAATAGTAATGAGATAATGATGATTAAATATTTAAAAAATGCGTCATTTTAATATAAGATAAAAAGTTAATGCGCATGATAATAGGCACTAATTAAGGAAATTCATGTTTTTATGATCTAATTTATAAATAACCAGCAAATGCACTCTCTTCACGTTAAGCTTAGTGATGAACCAGAACTATCTGCAGTCTGTTCAGCTCTTCTTCTTGCTTTTATTGAGAATTCCCGTGTCTTAAGATACTGTTCTGGAGGTGGAGATTATACAAATACTCAAAATGATTTTGGAGATCATCAATTAGAGATGGATGTATAGTGCGAATTGAATGTGAATACAGAATTGAAGAAAACAGGGTTTGTTAGTCATACCGCAAGTGAAGAAACTCCAGAAGTAAAAAAGAATTAATAATTTTTCTTAGATGAAGCTTCTTTGTGAAGGTGGAAAGTATATAGTAACATTTGATCCATTAGATGGAAGTTCAATTATAGGAACTAACTTTGCTGTGGGTACAATAGTTGCAATTTGGAAATCAGATGAAAATCTATTAATAGGAAAAAAAGGTAGAGACATGGTATCTGCTTGTTGTTGTTTATATGGTAGCAGAACAAATGTTGTGATTTGGAATGAGAAAGAATAAAAAGTTTAAGAATACACATTATTTGGTATGGAATTAATTTTAATTGGATAGATGGTGATAAGTAAGGACATTGGGAATTAACTAAGGATAATATAAAGATAAAACCAAAAGGAAAATTGTTTAGTCCTGGAAACACCAGATGCATAGCTGAACATATTCCTTATAGAGAAGTAGTTGATTATTGGATTCATAATGGCTACACTCTAAGATATTCTGGTGGAATGGCTCCTGATATTTGCTAGATCTTCTTAAAAGAAGTAGGAGTCTTCTCTTGTTTTGGTGATGCTAAAAATCCATCTAAATTGAGATATCTTTACGAATGTGCTCCACTATCTTTTTTAATCGAGAAAGCTGATGGAAAATCTTTCAATGGTAAACATTCTGTACTTGATACCGAAATCACAGGATATTATCAAAAAAGTGAAATTATTGTTGGAAGTGCAGATGAAATAGAATTTTTCAAGAGTATATGGAAGAAGCATGGTCTATTAAAAGAATGATGTGTTTATTGAATATATATAAAATTTTCAATAATAAATTCTAATCAATTCATTCAATTCTTATATAAGTTAGGGATCTTTTACTTTCAAAAAATTAACTATATTTATCTCATCAAATAATTGTTTCCGAGAATATAATGCAGATTAGTTACTAATTCCACTATTAACTATTTGTTATTATTCAAATCTTTGCTAACTTGGAGTCTTTTTCAATTTTTGCAGTTTGTTAATTGGCATTTCATTATGTAACTTTTCACTACTTTAACTACGATTCACTAATTGATCTCCTGATTTATCATTCTTACTTCCTCCAGCACTTACCTATCTTAAAATTCTTGATGAACTTTTTGAATCTTTGGAAACAGAATACGATCTCTATTATTAAGGTTACCTTTTGTCTAGTTCACACTGAATGAATTGGTTTAATGGGGATTTCAAATATTTTATTAAAAATTCAGTGTTCATCAAAGACATGTTGAGTTAATTTATACATCTTTCATAATCATTAGGATTCAATTGAGGTACTATAATATTATTATAGCTTTTATACCAAATTCCAGAAGCAATTAAAATGACTTCTCTTGTGCTTATTAAACTTAAGGTGTAGCTGCTAATAAAATTAAACTATCATCCAAATCTAGCTTACTTAAATTGTAAGTTGGATTCAAATTATAATACAAATGATTTAAACACAATGTTAAGACTTAATCTGTATTAAGGTATACAGTAAATTCTAACTTTTATTAATCGAATTTATTCAAATCTATATAGAATATAATCATACCATTAAATTCGCATAAGAGAATTTTGTTTCCTTTACTAGCAACTAAATTCACTAATTTTAATTGTTCTAAACCAAATTGAGAAAGTTGTAATTAAAAATAAAGAGCAATGATTCTTAAATTTAATTCAGGATCTATGTCTTCCAATTTTAGATATATTTTTAGAATTTTATCTTCCATCTTGGCTACTAATTTCCATGTGAAATCTGAAAATTTAAATTATTATGTCTCTTTATTAATTATTGAAGAGAGATTAGATAACTTCCAATTTATACTAGGATGAGTTTGATAATTAATCTTTTTATCTAAAACAGTTTATTTCTATTATGTAATGATTTGAACAATGTCTTAGCAATTTCTAATCTTTTATACTATTGATAAAAGATCAGGATTATTCTTCTTGCGATAATGCTTTAATGCTCTTTCTAAGATTTCCTCAATAACCTTTTAGTTGATTTTATTGAGATCCATAGGGTTTTATTAAAAAATAAGAAGTAAATTTCTTGCAGTAAAATTCATGCAAACATTAAGCATCTAATACCATACTTCTGGTGAATCCTGAATATAAAAGAGAACGAATACTTCACATGCTTTCAACTTTTTAAATGCTTCATTCAAAAACAAAATGCAATTTTGAACATTTACTCTATCTAAAATGAGATCTCGAATTACAGTCTCTTAAAAGAATTCCATCTACAAATGATCTCCTAACCATAATAGTCTTTATAGAGTTTAATCACTATATTTTTTCTAAATATCCAATTGATTATTCAGGAACTACTAGAAAACTGAAAAAGCTTCCATCGTTAGCCATTTTGGCATAGTGGCAGTATAAACCTAATATAAAATAAAGTTTCATACAAGACCTTTTTTCTCAGTCTATAAAGTCATACTTAAACATTTGCTAGCTTCTATATAATGAGTTTGACCTTCTACAACAAAGCAAACGAATTCAGACATATATTCGTTTATTAATTTTATATAATAAAATAATTTAAAAAATAGCTTTAACTAATTTTACAATCAATCAGAGAAACAATTCTTAAAAATGCATCAATGAATCTTATTGAAAGATTTCGTAATTCCAATATTGCTTATTGATTGAATTAGTACATTATTGACTATCTTCAAATGAAAGTTAGCTTTAGATTTCAAAATTTTAGAGAATCTAATTTCTGTATGATTGAATATCTTTTCCACTCTTGATCAACAGATGTTAAAATGTTCTGATTTAAGAATAATTTAAGCACCCTCTATCATGTAAAAGAAATAATTATTTAATTTTGATGTTCTTACTTTTAACAAATTCATCTTACCAAGCTTTGGAGGCTTTAAAATTAGAATCTTTAAAGAATTTGATAGCTTATGCTTTTATTTACTATCTAGAGACTCTTTTCTTTTGTTTGACACATTGTTTTTTAACCCAAACTTCTAATAATTCTTCTGCTTTTTCATTAAGTTTCTTTCTTCCACATCCTTTCTTTCTTTTAAAACCTAATCTAATCCATCTTCTTATATTTTTTATTGAAGTTTTGTATTTATCTTTCAAATGCATAAGCGATGTTTGGGAAGGATGTTTATAATACTATTATATAATCTCTTATTTATCATCTTCTGTTAATATGGTATACTTCTTTTATTTTTTCTTTTAAGCACTTCGAGTTTTCATAAAGAAATGATTAAAATGAAATAGTTTTTTTGTTGTGAATCTTTTAACCAAAATATTTGACTAGTTGGATGTTATTAATTTGCATAATAATTTTAACAGCAGTATTTTGATTAGAATATTAAAAAGTGTTTAAATTCCATAGTAGATAATTAATCATTAAAAATGAATGATATCTTCAGAGTGCAATTTAGAATAGGTTTTTAAGCAGTATAATAATAGTATTATATATATTTTAATGATTAATTAAATATTTTGAAAAAAGTGAAATTTTCTGCAAAGGTTTTATTAAGTGATGTAGGAATGAAAATTTGTTGTTATGAAGACAAATTAAATTAGTGATAATAATTATATATAATTTTTAATAAATTGATGTAAGAAAAGGCTAATCAATAATTAGACAATGTCCAAAACACAATAAAGTCTTTATAAGATAAGATTTAGAATATAGAAAATTTGATAGAGAGAGGAAGTGATTGCATAATAATATAATATGGATCACATAGTATAAAGATGAATAAAGCTAGCGGTAAAAAGTGTGTGTATGAGATATAGAGATGCTTCCAAAGAAGTTCAGAAATTTGATAGGATATCAAGTGCAATCATAATAGAAACAATTTTAATAGACTGATCTCACAGTGATTGATGAAAGCCTTTTATTATTGGAATAGAAACTAATTTCGAAAAGTGCACTTAAAGCATAACCAAAAAGTATGCGTGGAAAACCAAGAGCTAAAATTGAAGTAGATTTACGAAACATTAGAGGATTTTTAGGGAGGAAAGAATAAAAGTAACCATAATGTACTCTTGCTTAGATGATTGAAGATAAATCTGTAGTTTTTGAGGATGATATATTTACAGGTGAGTATTTAGTTAGATAACCAATTAAACATGGATTTTTTAATTTAACAGAGAATTATAATATGTAAGATGTAATAGAAGATCTCTATAAATTAACATTATATGGATTAAATTGCAAGTTGGAAGTAAGAAACATGTCTGATTACTATTGTATTTTAGTAATTCCTGATATCTTTTAAAGAAATTAAATTAAAATGTTAGTAGATATGTTGATTAGGTAATTAGGATTCAAAGGAATTTATTTACATTTAGAATCTGTCTTATCTAGTTTTGGAGCCAATCTATAATAATGTTGTGTTGTAGATATTGGATATGAAAAAATTAATATTACTTGTGTAGATGATGGTGTAATATTACCAGGTACTTATGTAAGAAAGAATTTTGGAAGTAAAGATATTGATTTAGTATTAATGAGATAAGTGACAAAAAGAAATGCTTGTGATTAAACAGTTTAATTATAAAGTAATAATTATGGAGATTTACTCTAAATGGAAAAACTTAAAGAGAAAGCTTGTTAATTGAAATAAAAAGAGGATAAACTTAATTATAATTATGAATTACATTGTTTAAGAAATTAAAAGGAAAAGAGATTCTGTGTATAACATAATGATGGATTATACATTTCTGCTAATACATTGTTTGAATCAGAACCATTTAATGAAATTAGAAAGTAGGATATGAATGAATGTTTTGATTTTACAGGACGTTTATTTGAAATGTAATATGATCCAGAAGATAATTTCGAAGAGTTAAGTGGAGGAATTTAATTAAGTTGGTATTGGGGTTCAAAAGAAAAAGAATAATAATATTTTATAGAAGGTAATTAAATGTTGAATCCTAATTATATGATGCCACTTGATCATATGATAGCTTATTCTATTGCTTAAGTATAAGATCCAGAAATCAGATAAAAATTAGCAAATAATATATTATTTACTGGCGGAGGTGCACATCTAATTGATCTTGTAGATGAAGTATAAGCTTTACTCATTAAAAAATTTTAAGTTATGGAATTAAATGAAATTGAAAGAGTTGAAATTATTAGAGATGTCAGACCCATCTATATAGCATGGGTTGGAGCAACTGTCTTACCTAAAACTGAATCTGTTAGTGAATTATGGATCACTGCTTAAAGATGGTTGGGCAATTTAGAACCACAAAAAGATGAATTAGAGGATATGATTAATTAATTTGATGGAGATGTTTAATAATTAGAAAAGAAACTTATTGCTTTTGCAAAAAAAGATAAAGAAAAAGATCGTAGTTGCGAATATGGACTAAAACATTTAAAAGAAAAGATTCCATTTATATGGTGATTTCTATAAATATATATATATATCTATGTTTAAATGCAATTTTGATAATAACCATTAATTAGAGTCATCAAACTATACTTTTGAGATTCTTATTATCTTACTGGTTCAGATGCTTTACTGCTTACTTTTAAACTTGAATTATTCAGGATACTTTCAAATCTTTTTCAGAGTCATCATCAAAAATATACTATTAATGTTATTCAACTAAGTTTAGAAAGGCAACTATTATTATTTCATCCTACTTAACTCTTTAATGTAATTTAGGATCAGATTCATCGTAATCATATTTTTCTTTAATTTGTCACTAAACATTTAATGTCTCAGTAACAATTCATCATCCATCAATTAATCAGTTTAATAAATAGTCCCTTTTCATAGAATATAGTTTTTCAATAAATGATTAACAATGTAGTAACATCTAAGAATGTAGTCATAGCTGAATAATTTAGTATTTTAAATATTATTTACAAAAAAATTGCATCCTAAAAAAGAAAATATTATATCTTTAGATCATTAATCTTTTCAATTCAATTATAATAAACCTTGATAATATAAGTTAATATCACCTAAAATAATTATTTCTTACTGTAAGCTTATTAATTGAATAATCTCATTTATTAAATGCTATTTTTATTTAATTTTTTCGAAGACTTAATATTTTTTTAAATATTTATTTACCTCTCTTAATTTATACTATTATTTTCATAAAAAGTATAACTTTTTGATTCTTTTCTAAATTTCGTTAATTATTAAATTCGAATTTTCATTTATAATTAGGAATTAATTCCCCAGTATTTGATAAATTTCTTTATTTTAGAAAATTTTATTTATATATTTTTAAATATTGATTTTGATGTTCAAATATTAAAAAAGGGAAACCTAATTCTGCAAAAATGCCTCTAAAAGCTTAGTTACAAAGTTAGATTATTTTGCTTAGCATCCTTAATTTTAAGTTCTAAAAAAGACATCCTTTAGTACAGCCATTGGCTATTTACTCACAACAATCTTATCAACAATATGTCTATTTTATTTATACATGTAAATAGATGAGTTAACAAAATAAGCAAATCCAAATGTTATTATTTCTGATAATCAACCCCTAAATACTCCAGTATAATTTATTTATTTATTATAGGTTATATACTTATCTAGAAGTAACTTTACCTTTGTAATTAGTGTCTCAAATGCTCTACTACAATCATTCGATAAAAATTTGAAATATTATAATTTGACTGTAAATTAATGTCATAGAAAAAGACACTATGACGAATCTAGTAGCAGTGTCAATATTTCACTCAAGTAACATATATTATTAGAATAAGTTGTTTTAATTACTAGATTGAGCCATGCAATTTGGAAAAGCATTTTGTAACAGATTTGTAGAAAGTTTATTTTAAAAAGTTTGCACTATCCACTATGTATTGTTTAAATCCAGAATAATGGGATTAAAGACCTATAGTATAATATTTATTTAAAATTTTAGTAACTTTAAGGTCATTCTTAAAGTGATAACTTTTAGTTTATTACTGTTAATGTAAATATGTGCAAAAACAATACAATATATAAAAATTGCAGTCCTATAGAAGAAATTCAAAAAGGACTTATTACTTCTAATTATGCAGTCTTTCTTTCTGACGTTCTTATTAAAATGTAGAATCCTGGAAGACCCTACGATGACGTAATTACTATTTAAAATACGTAATTTTCTTATGCTAAATCATAACAAATGCATTCAATGTTTAAGATTGTTCATACTTAAACAGATGTTGGCTTAATAAATAAAGATATATAAGTTGATGAAACTATTTTGCCATCAGTTACAAAAGAATACTCAGAATCGTACAATGGATATTATTTAGCTAACAATCTCATTTATTTAGACTAAAGAGAAACAATTTACTATAGATCATATATTAAATTATAAGCAATATTAGGTAATATTGGAGGTTTGTGGTAAATCATTTCTTTGGCAATTTCTGCTATATTTGGGCCAGTTTTACTAACATACATGAATTTATCTTTAGTTAGCAAATTTTTTAGACTTGAAGTATAATAACCTAAATCTTTAATTGAAAAACAAATTTTTGATTAAGATGAAATAAAAGAGATAAATTTAATGGCTTCAGATTTTTAAAGCAAAAATTAATCCTAAATTCAAAACAGCAATCATTCAAAATTAAAATAATATCTTAAGAAAAAAAAGAATCCAATCAGTATAACTTTTAAAGATGCATTGTTGATGTATTTAGGATGTTTAGGAAAGAATTAAAAAACATATAGATTTGCTATTTAGAAAATAATGATGAAATTGGATGTAGCCTATATTATCAAAAAATTATATGAAATTGATAAATTAAAGAGTATTTTGATGACAAATGAATAGGTAAAATTATTTAACTATATTCCGAAACCATTAATACCTAATAATATTTTTAATGTCGGGTTTGAAAAATAATACAACTCCAATTCTATTCAAACAGATTCCATGTCCATTTTTGAAGAAGAAAAAACTGAAATTTAAAAATTAGAAGATTCTTATCTGGCCTATTAGAAAATTAAACAAAAAAATAATCCATCTAATTTAGATGAAATTATTATTGATCAAATGGATGAAGATATTAAAGCATTTTTTGAATGTCTCAGAAAGAAAAATAGCGGATTTATGTATCCTATTACCTCTAGAATGGATTCTAATCCATAAAGTTAAAGAGATGAAGAAATTTTGATAATAAATTAAGAACCTTAAGCAGGAAAAATATTAACTAATAAGAAATGATCAAGTTATTATTAAACAATATAAATTATAAAATTTTCTTCTATAGATTTATTAGGTTTACAAGCTCTAAAATATTAAAATTTCTAAAAAACACATAAATTGAGATTCTGTTCATTATAAAAATGAAAAAAAGCCAAAAGATTCAAATAATTCTTTAGATTAAAATAATATATAATGAAATAAAAATTATAGAAAAGGATTATAAATAAGTTTTCTTAAAAAATTAAAAACTTAAAAAGATATTAAATATTTAGAAATCAATATCTCTAATATTTATATGTCATTATGTTTTGTAAAATAGATAAGCTGTTTTATCGATGTAAAAGTAGATAAATCTTCTTTTTTCATGAATTGAATGGCATCCAAAATTCTTGCCAAAAAAAACGTGCCAATAAGGTTCAAAATTATTATCCAAATACTTTTTAAGATGTTCAGCCATCTTAATAAAAGTTATGAAACTGTTACCTTTTATCCATCTTTAGCTTCAAATGTTTTCAAACAGCTTTGTGTTTCATTTATAGCTCCTTCTAGAATGTCATCAGGGCAATCAGGTGGCCACAAGACTCTAGCACCTAAATACATTCTGTATTAAGCTGTTGTTTGAGACATTTATATAAATTAATTAAAAAATATTCTTTTTGGATAGAAAAATAATGGTTTGTAAATTTGAAATTTTTAAAAAATAGAAAAAAAATATATTTTGTAGATGAAACTCAATAAATCAAAATGTATCAATTTCTGATACTCTTTTATAGTATTTTTAAAAAGGTAATTCAGGAATTCTTTAAAGCCATGCTTATTTGCTCCAATTATTATTGTGCCCTTCTATAAAATGAAGTGTATAAGCATGTCTAGATTATGATGAATGATTATGTCCTGAAAAATGTACAAGATCACCATGAAGCAAAATGACTGAACCTTTACTGACTTCTAAACATTCTGCTTTAGATGGATCAAAATGTTTTTGATATTCAGGGTTTGTTCCAATCATTTTTGTATTTCTTCTGGTATCATCTAATACATTGAAATAAGTTGTTGGTGTTAAATGAGATTTTGGAAATGCATACATACATCCATTATTTTTTGTTGCATCTTCAAGTGCTATCCATAATCCTATACATGATAGTTTTGGTTCACTAATAATGTAAGTATTATCTGTATGCATATCAACAGCAGTTCCAAATTTTTGATTTTTAAATATTACCATTGTTTGAGCAAGTATGGGATCTATGTATCCAACACCTTTAAGAACGGCTTTGAAAATATTATTATATGAGAATTTCTCAAAAACTGGATCAAGATCATGCATTGCATGTCCAATTTTATTGAGGGCAAGCTTTTTATCTTTTACCTTAATTTATCCTTTTTCATCAATCATACCTAATTCCAATAAATAACCTATTTTAGATGCAGTATCTAAAAAGCTCATACCTCTAGGTGCATTCTTAGTATCAAAAAACATCTAGAATAGTATATAGAAATATACTTGATTATTTACTAAATCAGCTTTTTCGACTAAATCATTAGTTCTTTATAGTAATTTATCTATTTCTTGATGATTGAGAATATTTGGAAGTACTAGATAGCCATTTGCATGGTAAAAATCAGCTTAGAATTTTGTCATTTATTTAAAGTTGAACTTGCATAAAAAACGAAACATTAATATTAATCATTCTTTTCCCAATACTAAGTTAATTAGATCTCCGGCCAAAACTTGCTGAAAATATATAAAATAATTGTATACTTCTACAAAAACAGAGCAATCATTGTTTCTTGTATCATTCTTTGATAGAGTATAGATATGATTATCAAATGATGCAAAGATTGTTCTATCAAAGCCACAACTATATGATTTAAATTTCTTTTATGGCAATACACTATATATTATAGATTGAAATACTCTATCATATTTTTTTTACAATTTATAGCACCCTATTTATTACTCCCAAATTGTCCACATTAATTATACTTATTATAACCCCAAGATAGATATTGTTCCTAACCGTTAGTTTTGTTGATAACTTTAGTTACACAATGATAAGCACCAAGTTAAAAATCTCTTAAATTTTATAGAGAAATAATTGTTACTAAATTTCAAAATTACTATCAATGTTAATTCTAATAGGATCTAACAAATGAATAATAATTTAATCATCTAATTCTGGACATTTTAGAAATCCAAATACCTCATGTTCATTACATCCCCACATATAAAGATAGTTTTCTATTGAAAGTGCCCCAAAAGAAGAATAACCTGCTTATATTTATTTAGCTTTTAGATTTATTTTTCTTGGTACTAATTAACTGTTAGATTATTCAACACATTATAAATTAATAGCTTCTTTCTACGCATTTAGTACTTTTATAATATTATCTCCAAAGTTGTTTTACATCTTACCCCAAGTATATACATCACCTTAATCTGTTCGACATATAGAGATTTCTTCCCCTGCAGCAATATCAACTACAAATATTTAATTATTCTTAAAATAAGATAGTTGTTAAGGCCATATTGAACTAATAGTCATTCCTAATTTATATTATTCTCTTACCATTTCCTAATTAGCCATGTTTATTATATCCCCATGAAATAACATTTCCATCAACAGTAAGTGCTAATGAATGATATATCCCACAAGCTATTTTACTTATAGCTTTATCAGTATTAATATGATACGGAGGAGATATATCAAAATCTTTTAATGGATCTACATCAAAATGTTATGTAATGTTTTCATCAAAAAAATTAAGAATGCTACCCCATTAACAAGCCTAAAATTTACTATTCACAATTCCAACTGTGCTATCATTTATATAAAAATTTACTCTTTTTTTATAGATACATTTCTTATTTATTCTTTTTCTAATAACACTAAACTATAATCTTCAATTTAAAGATACTTTTTGTTTTCTTCTTTTATAATCTATGGAATTTAAAATAACTCTAAAAAGTTTATTGAATCATCTATTAAAATAGAATTAATAGTTCCTTATAAATAGAGAGAAAGTGGTTATTAATATTTAACATACAACTTTATTGGGATTAATTCCTATTCAGAAGACCATCCATTAATATTTTATGCTTCTATTGATAAATAGATCATTTCATTAAAAGGAAGTTAACCTACATTTAATGGATTATTTTAGGTAAAACTTAACCTTTAAATTTACACTTACTCTTTGTTATTCTCAAATTCTATAACTACTCTTTTAGCTGGTTGCAAAGATAAAGATTTATCATATATATCTAACTAATAAATTCTGTAAAGTGTAATCTCCTATCCAAAATCATTTGGTTTATTAAAAGAAATTATTATTGTGTGAACTTTTGAAGGATCATTTTTTATATGTATCTCTCTTATTACATCAGGTGGAAGAGGTTAATTAGCTATAGGAATTGGATCTATATCATCAGAAACTTTTATTTATTTAAATAACTCTTCGATATCTCCAATTTTTTTATCACCTCTTTTCTCTCTTTATTATCGAGGTTTCAAAGGAAACAATTCAGGATCATAATTTTTATAAATTACTAAGTCTCTTTTACAATCATCTAACTCTAAAAAACCTAAATGAAACATTTTTGCTAATTCTTTTACTATTTTTTTAATTCTTTCATTTCTACCATAATAATTTTCATTCAATCTTATAAAATTCTTATTTTCATATACCAAAAATTTTTATATTACTTCTTTCATACAATTTTATAATTATTGATATTTCTCTTCTAAATTATTAATCATTTCCTCCTATTCGGATTAAAGTTGACTTATATCATTTTTTTTGAATGTTGCTTCGTTGATTTATTTTTTTTAGTATATTAAATCCCTTTCTATTGTAAGTATAGGATCAATAATTAAATTTTTAATGCTCTTTGGTGCAGAAAACAAACTTGAATTTAATATATTTGTATTTTACATTTGATTTTTATATAATAATAAAAATTGTAAAATCAGATAGCTTTATATAAATATCATGATTTTTTATAATATTCCAACTTTTACAAAGCTTCTTCAACTTAAGAGCTAATANCTTTTTTTATAGATACATTTCTTATTTATTCTTTTTCTAATAACACTAAACTATAATCTTCAATTTAAAGATACTTTTTGTTTTCTTCTTTTATAATCTATGGAATTTAAAATAACTCTAAAAAGTTTATTGAATCATCTATTAAAATAGAATTAATAGTTCCTTATAAATAGAGAGAAAGTGGTTATTAATATTTAACATACAACTTTATTGGGATTAATTCCTATTCAGAAGACCATCCATTAATATTTTATGCTTCTATTGATAAATAGATCATTTCATTAAAAGGAAGTTAACCTACATTTAATGGATTATTTTAGGTAAAACTTAACCTTTAAATTTACACTTACTCTTTGTTATTCTCAAATTCTATAACTACTCTTTTAGCTGGTTGCAAAGATAAAGATTTATCATATATATCTAACTAATAAATTCTGTAAAGTGTAATCTCCTATCCAAAATCATTTGGTTTATTAAAAGAAATTATTATTGTGTGAACTTTTGAAGGATCATTTTTTATATGTATCTCTCTTATTACATCAGGTGGAAGAGGTTAATTAGCTATAGGAATTGGATCTATATCATCAGAAACTTTTATTTATTTAAATAACTCTTCGATATCTCCAATTTTTTTATCACCTCTTTTCTCTCTTTATTATCGAGGTTTCAAAGGAAACAATTCAGGATCATAATTTTTATAAATTACTAAGTCTCTTTTACAATCATCTAACTCTAAAAAACCTAAATGAAACATTTTTGCTAATTCTTTTACTATTTTTTTAATTCTTTCATTTCTACCATAATAATTTTCATTCAATCTTATAAAATTCTTATTTTCATATACCAAAAATTTTTATATTACTTCTTTCATACAATTTTATAATTATTGATATTTCTCTTCTAAATTATTAATCATTTCCTCCTATTCGGATTAAAGTTGACTTATATCATTTTTTTTGAATGTTGCTTCGTTGATTTATTTTTTTTAGTATATTAAATCCCTTTCTATTGTAAGTATAGGATCAATAATTAAATTTTTAATGCTCTTTGGTGCAGAAAACAAACTTGAATTTAATATATTTGTATTTTACATTTGATTTTTATATAATAATAAAAATTGTAAAATCAGATAGCTTTATATAAATATCATGATTTTTTATAATATTCCAACTTTTACAAAGCTTCTTCAACTTAAGAGCTAATATGTTATAATTTATCTTTAAGAGTTTGATTTTCTTTTCTTAGATTTATGTACAATGAATCTAATTGCTCTTTTGTATTATTTGATTTTGAACTTTCTTAGAATGGTCTTGTTTCTGTTGATATTGTATAATATTAATTTGATGGAGAGCGCTAACAATCATAATAATTCAGAATACATATTGCTAGTTATTGAATGGGATTTGTAATTAAATCATTGGAACATTTCTTTAAGCAGAATTTGTATGTTAGAAATACATTAATTAATGGATATAATTTATCTTAGTTAAATACAATTATATTTATTCATTTCAACTCTTTCAATTAAAATATGTTTTTAACAATCTGTTCATAAATGATTCTAACTTTCCCATTAGAAATTTAACCAATTTAAAATAAATAATCTCAAATTACTTATAAATATATATTTAATCTATAAATATGTAAGAAAAATAATATTACGATTAAAGATTATAAATTATTAATTTTATCTTTATTAGAAAATCAGAAATCAAATGGACCCAATTATTCTAACTCAGAATAATTAGAAGCACCTTTTTGGAAAAAGAACTAATCTAAGCTTTTATTATTATAATATAAGCAGCATTGGCAGATTTCAATGATTCATCTTATAATATAAGTTGATTATAAATGATAATTATTTATCTACAATTTTAGATTTGAGTAGTTCATTAAATTATTTAATACTTTTACTTTTATTTAGTTTAATTCATGAATCAAGTTTAATTCAAATGTAATTTTTTAAATTACTGACAATTTAATTAAATTTTTATTAGCAAGAGCCTTTATTGTATTTCCAAAGAAATTCTTAATATGATTAAATTATTAAAGTTAATTAACTCATCATTTTATTTTAAATTTAATTTAGGATCTGCAAGTTCAATGTCTTTAAAATATCCACAAAAAAATAAACAAAAATCTTCTTTCTTTAGGTTTTAGATTCTCTTGGATATTTTGAATATTCAATTTTCTCAATTTTAATTTCTTATAGCTAATTGTATGTCTAATTTTTTTTATTAGTTTTTCCTATTTTTTTTATTTCTTTCTGCTTCTTCTTGTAGTTCCTTTTAGGTTTTGGCTTTTTCATTCTTGATCCTCTTTATTTGAATAAATTAATAATCTGTTTATTCCATAATTAGGATCAATATCTTCTTATAAAGTGGATTCTAATTTGATATATAATAATCTCAAAACTAAAATAGTATCTATTGAGAAATTCATAGCCAAAACTATGTAAATCCATAGATTACTTATTTACCAAAGGCCTCAATAAAATTCTTCTAATTTAATGTTAAAATTGACAATTAAACATCAACTTTATTTCTACTTAGGTATAAAAGTAGTATTTATGGAATGCTATAGAAAATAAAGAGACATTTATTGTATTAAATAAAAATAATGTAAAGGATATCACATTGTTTGTATTGCATATTTATAAGTCTATTATTGGATTGAGATAGTAAATAGTAAATTAGCTAATCAAATGAGAAGTTATTAAATTGAATCTAAAATATGAAGATAAGTAATTAGAATTGTTTGTATATAAAGTAAGGTAAAACTAAATTCATTTTTATTTAGAAATACTTCAAAAATATAGAGAACACTAATGAAGATTCAAAAAGGTAATAATTCATACTTTCAGAATAGTTTAAGTCTATAATACAATCTGAAAATCCATTTATCTAATAGAATATTCTATTATTGGATATGCATAAAGTGTGTAATATAGCTATTTAAGTGACGTGATTATAAAGTATAGGATTGTTTATATGAGTTCACTATCTTAGAATTTAATAGATTTATCGATTAATTCCACTTAATTAAATTGTACCACTTTATGTTATTGAGATTGATCATATATTTTTATAAATAGAATGAGAATATATAAAATAATCCAAAAATAAGCAAGAAATTATTAATGAGTTGAAATCCCTTCAATTTTTAACAATGTATTTATAAATAATATATATGTAAACTCTTAGACATTATGAAGCTATGGCTGAAGAAGTTAGAAAAATAATGATATCAGGGAAACCTATTCCACCTGACTATTAGGAAGTTATTGAAGAATTTCTACCAACAGAAGATAAATATCCATCTAGAAGAATCATTACTGTATATGAATATCCAGACAGCAATCCAGCATTATTCTTAGAAAATAAAAGAGGATTCAGATTATAATTTATGTTTCTATTCCTTTCAAATGAATTAGCTGCATAGTAATATTATAATTTATTATGTTCTATAGATTTTATGAAGATGTAATGAATAATGGACCACTTAAATGGTAGATTGCAAGATTCTATTTAGAAGTGGCAGAAAATATGGTGTTTATAAAAACAAGAGGATAAAGAGCTTAAAATATGTTATAAAAGATTTAACATGGAATAAAGACTTAACCTTTATGTGTATTTCATTATAATTTGAAAATGAGAGTATCTACATTAATATTTTTAAGACTCTTTTACATATATTAGAATAAGGTAATTGGTGTATTCGTGTTGTTTGGGGTCCTCCTGTAGATGTACCTTTACATGGAGGAGATGCAGAAAAAGTTGAAAATGTTATTGCAAAAACAGAACCAAAATTAGAAATACAAAAAAAAGAAGAAATGGAATAAGAAGTTACTAAAAAGATTTAAATCAATGAAGAAGATACTAAAACCAAAAATACTCTTTATATTAAACCTATTGAATATTATAGTAGATTAGCAGAATAGACTGTCTAAAAATTAAGAGATCAAAATCAAAAAAAATAATAATGAAATATTATCCTATTTTATTATAATAATATTAATAAATATGTAAATTAAGGAAAATTTATACAATTGGCTTTGTTCATTAAAAGTCCTACCTTAGGATGGAAAGAAATATGCAGACAAAGTCGAAATTACTAAAGCTTCATTAATTCAATTGGAAAATGGCATAGCTTTTGGGTTATTGCTTAAAGAAATTGTGAAGTTACGAAATAGGTTCCTCTATTAATCATTCTAAAAAGGCCTTCCACTCCTTTAGCTAAGTTAGACACACTCAAAGATAATTAGTAGAAATCTTCAATTTTATATAATTGGAAGATACTATGTGAAGAATATCAAAAGGTCGATATCCAAATTGATCAAGATACAAAAGCATTGATTCTGGGAGGGGATAAGGAAATGATTCATCAATTACTTTTAGAGATTTATGATAAATATTATCGAGGTTAATAACAATCCTAAGTGTTATAGTAATCTTAAATGTTAGATGATTCTGTTTTAAGTTTAGGTGGAAATACTAAACTTTTAGCTAACAACAAAATATCTTAAGGTATTAATTAATGTATATTTGTTTAAGCTAATTAATAAGTGGATTTATCTAAAATAGATCCAAAAAAAGATCTAAATAAAACTTCAAATTGTTTAGAATTTTTTATAGTAGCTTTAGCAAAGAACTTGTAACTGTCAATAAAATAATCTGCATCCCTGTTTACTAATAATAACAAATATCTTGCTCATATATTAGCCAAAGGAGTCAAGGGAGTATTTGAACCAATAGTTGCATTTTACAAAGAAAGTTATGCAAATGGAAATTAATTAATTAAATTATTTAATGAGGATTAAACTAAAAAATCTCTCATCTTTGCATTTCAAGTATTATTTTAAATAATGTTAAAAAGGCTCTTAAACCTGGTTTGATATCAAAATCATTTGATGTAGCATATGAATCAGTTCGTTTGTTCAGTAGATTAGGTTCAATGATACCTGTTTAATTGTTAAGAGAATGGTTTTTGGAAGATTAAGGAGGTCTTCATACAGCATTGATGGGATCTAGAAGACATCCAGAGTTAGTGTCATTTCATGTAGAAATGATATAATAATTTGCAAAAAATAATTTTGTTGAAGTATTTACAACAGGGATTAGAAATGTATTACCTGAGACAAAGGATTTCATCAATTCGATTGAATTAATATATATGCCTTTAAGTTAGAATTAGGAATTAGTATCAACTGGTATCTTAAATGATTGGGTAACTTAGGCTATAGGTATAGCAGAGAATGAATTTAAAAATTCAACTGATACTAGAATATCTTCACTTAACTTTTTAAGTGAAGTTCTTGGAAATACAGAATTAGATGAATCATTAACTAATACAATTATTGCACTTCTTAAAAAAGGTTCTAGAGATAAATCATAATCTCTTTCCTTAATGTGTTTAAATCATTTATTTAAATTACTCAATCATTTTAGTTTATAAAAGAGTAACTTTGCTCCATTAATTTATAAGAAGTAAATTAAATATTTATCAAATTTAGTTTAACTTTATCCTTGGTTGAGAATCATGATAATTAATAAATTAGGGAATATATTTTAAATAATTTTATTCATATATTCTCTACAATGGAAACAGTGCCAATAAACTTATTACTTGAGAATTTGATCAAGTAATTATAAACATCAGAAGGTGTCACATATATTTTAAATACATTTGATATGCATTTCTTTATGTTTATATCAAATCTTAATATTGGAATTAAGAATGCTATTCAATTACTTGACTTTTTAGCTAAAATATTTTTAAATAATCTTGTTTATTAGAGTTTATCATCTGAAATTATTATTAATATATTATCTAAGAATGTAGAGAATTAAACGATGTAAGAATTTATATTAAAGTTTATTAAAATAGCATTGGCTATGTTTTTTGCATCAGAAAAAAAGAGATAAGCAAAAGATGCAATAGGTGCATAGAAACGTAATTAGATAGTAGAAATAATTAGAACAATTATTTAATTTTAATAATAATTATTAAATGAAAAAATTAAACCATTGATTGCTCATACAAATATTTAAATAAAATAATTTAGTAAAAGAAATTCGAAAGGAATGATGGCAATATTAGAATTATTTGGTAATGCTGAAAGAATATTGGAATAATATGAAATTGAATATCGTGAATAATAAGCAAGTAAATTATAAGGACCTCCTGAGGATGATGAATTAGTTCCATTTAATTCTAGATCAATAGGATCTATTAAATTATCAAAGGAAGAATAATATAGTTTAGCCTCTTTAAAAACTACAAAAGCAGACCCAAAAGTATTAGAGAAACTTGAAATTATAAAGAAATAGTTTGATGATAAAACTATTAATGAAGCATAAAAAATAGAATAAATGAAAGAAGCTTAATAGAAATAAAAAGTGAATCTAAGAAAATAATTAGAAAAGAGATCAATTGAATAAGGTGTATCAATAGCTAAAGATAGAGAAACAAATCTAATATTTAAAGATGGATCTAAAAGTGCAGCTCCACCAAATAAACATGGATTAACAGAATTTGAAGTATGGGATTTATAATTAGAAGAAGATAGAGAACGTTATTTAGTTGAATAACTTTTTAGAAAATATCATAAGATATTTAAATATGTTTTCTTTAAATATGCTAATTCAGGAAATAAAATAATAAAACCAAAAGATTTTGACGAATTAAAAGATTAATCTGATACAATAAATGAGCCTGAATTATGGGCTTTTCTTAAAGATTATGAATTAGTATTTAATGTATCTAGAGAATAAGTTCATGCTTTATTAAGATCTATTGCCATTTAACTCTTAAAATGTAAAAATGAATTAACTAGTTTTAATTATGAAGGTTTTAAACATATTGTTACGTAATATTCATGTATACTATTTACAAAAAGAACAAAATATATTTAACCACATGCTTGTATTGAAATGATGATTTAAAGAATGAGATAAGTTACTGCAGCTAAAGCATAATCTACTTAACTTTATGATGATCCAGATAATATGTTTTTTGATTAAAAAGATGTTATTAAGGAATTTAATAAAAAATTAGCTGAAGATCCTAAATATGTATTACCTGAAGGTTATAAAACTTAAAAAGAAGAAATTATTAAATTTAATTATGGTTTTGAAGTTTAAGATTCTCATACAATTTCATATTCAATTTTAGATGATATTTTATTTAAGGTTTGTAATTGTCATTTAATTGAACCAATAACAACTAAAGAATTTTAGCTTGTTTGTAGACCCAATATTCTTGGATATGTAGAATCTAAAGTTAAATAAAATTATGAGAAAGATCATTACATGGAATAAAAGAATAAATCAATGAGAAAATCAGCATCTGTATCATAATCATTAACAAATGTACCTATTTAACCTAAAAGAAATCTTGAAATAGAACCATTTAGATAATATAGTTTAGGAATTAAATTAGAATTAGCTAAAATTCCATTTAATTAACATAAATAAAAATTATTAGTTGAATAAGTAGCTGATGTATTGGAAGATATGATATTTGCAGTTGAGAATAATTAAAAAACTATTACTAGAAAATGGAATATTATTAATAAAGTTTAATAAGATAAATTGGAAGAAAAGAAAAAAGAAGATGAAGAGGCTAAAATTAGAGAAGAAAAATTCTAAAAAAATCATGAATAAGCAAAGGCTAAATTAGAAAAATTGAAAGAATAAAGATTATAAAAATAATAAGAAGAAGATGCTAAAGATACTTCTAAAGATCCAAAGAAAATTCGTTAAGAAGAAAAAAAAAAAGAATAAGAAGCTTATCTTAAATAATAAAAAGATAAAATTGCTTAAAAATAAAAAGAAGAAGAATAAGAAAGAATTAAGAGAGAACTTTTAGAAAAAAAATAAAGAGCAGAAGAAATACAAAAAAAAAAAGAAGCATTCAAAATATTTAATTAAAAAAAAATTGAATAATATGGTGAAATATTTAAAGCAGAATAAATTAAAATATAAATGGCAGCTGAAGAAAGAAAAAAAATGGAAATTGATCATTAAAAAATGCATGATGCTTTATATAAAAATATTGAAAAAAAAGGGGAATAAATTAAAGTCAAAGAAAAAGCAACAAGTGAATTGATTGTCAAATTATTTAGAAATCAAAATTATTAAACTATTTTCACTAATAATAACTTTAAATTAAGTTATTTATATGAATTATTGTAATTAGAATATTATAAGTCTATTGAAATGATTGATTTTAAATAAGTTCCATTAAAATTATGGATGTGGTTTGGAGACAGATTTAGAATTTATCCAGATATTATATCATAAATTGAATTTATAAGGGTTTTTAATGCTATTACTTATAAATCTAATGAAATACCAGTTTCATTAGATTATATAGAATTTTTAGAAGCTCTTTTTAGAATAAGTATAAAAGGATATTAATTCTTTAATAAATTGGCAAAAAGTATAAAAGAACCAAAACCTTAAAAATTAGAAAATTAAGAATTGCCTTAAGATTAATCTCCAAAATCAATTAAAAGAACATAATAAACGAAAGAATTTATGCTTAATAGAATTAAAGAAGTTTAATCAGAGTAAGAAAAACGATTAGAAGATGCAAAAAAAGAATTAGATGAAAAAAAGAAAATGGAAAAAGAAGCTCTAATTTTAGATAATTATTAAGCTTTAAATGATATTATAGGAACAGATAATGTTACTGGATAAAATTTTAATGAGTAAACATTGGATGCATTTATAACTTATTTAGCTCTACCAAATGATAAAACTGGAATTGAATTGAGATTTAGATATCTAATAGAAGTTGAAGCTAAAAAAAAACCAAATAAAATGAGAAAATAAGGTATGAATTACATTTTATGGTTTAGAGGCATCTAAAAGATTGGAAGAAGATGTGAATTAATGGAAAGAAATAAAGACAGTTGAATAAAATAGGTAACCTATTTTCCCAAGTATAATTTTCTTATATAATTAGAAAAATCAAATCTTAAATAAAGTCCTAATAAACCTCAAGAATAATAAGATCCAGTACTACCCTAGAATAACGAAGAAAATCAAGAATAAGAATAATAGGATAATTGATTAGTATAAATTATTAATTTTTAATAAAATATTAAATTTAATGTTCCTCAACATTAAATTTAGTTTTAGGAATTAATTTTTTATCATCTTATATAAAATATGTTTGTTTATGATGCAATAATTCAGTTATTCCATTCTTAAGAATTTTTTCTTCTTAATTTATATTAATTAGTTTAATTTAAATTTTTTTATATAAATAATTAGAATCAATAAATTTAGCAATTTTTTTATAATTAATTAGAATAAATTAATTAAGTAAAATATATTCTGTTTGAGTGGATGCCTACAATATAAGGTATTAAGCAAAGATATTTTCATCTTAAACTCTCTCTTCTCTTCAATTAAGTTTCCATTAAAATAATATCACAATGTAGCTAGTTTACCTATTATTATGGTAAATCACATTTTAAATTTCTTTCAAAAAAAAGTTCTTAGTAGATTCACATATAGTATTAATTTAATTATAAATTATAAGTAGAATATAAATTATAATAAATCGTCTCTACTTTTTATTATTGATTCAGTTATATTAATATTTATCTATATATAAATTAGTACTTGAAAAAAAAATAAAGAAGGTTTTTGATAAATAATAGAAAATTGAAAATGTTATGATAAATAAATAGTAAAATCTAGTTTTCCAATCAAATAAAAGAATGTTTTTACAGTTTTTTTTTAAACTTAAAATAAATCAGTGCTTCAATACTTAAAAAATTGATAAAGTTAAATAATTAAATATAATTGTTTAGTGATGAAGGATTTTAAATCTGGAGATATTATTGCAATGGATTATCAAATTTTGAGTTTATTATCAGAAGGTTCATTTGGAAAAGTATATTTGGGTCGATCTTAATTTATGAATCTAAATGTGGCTATAAAAGTTGAAAAGAGCGAAGTTTCCTATTTTAACAGTTTGAATCATGAAGTATATTTAAAAACTATGAGAAATACAGGTAGAAATCTTAAAACTCTTGGAAGATGTTCCTTAAGTGCCTAAAATATTTTGGTTTGGATAAGAGATGAATCTAAACATAATGATACAAAACCTTTTAGGTAAGGATCTGATTCATTATTATAAAAAACTTAAAAGGTTTTCTTACGAATGTGTATGTAACATTGCCTATTAAATGATAACCATTTTAGAATAAATTCATTCAAGGTATTGAATTGGATTTAATTTTTAATTTAGAAATATAATACACAGAGATTTAAAGCCAGAAAATATTCTTGGTGCATCTCTTTCTGATAAAATTTATTTAATAGATTTTGGTATAGCAAAGAATCTTTTATAAAACAAAAAAAGCAAAGACAAAATTTCTTTCATAGGAACTACAAGATACGCAAGTTTGGCAGCACATCTAGGTAAAGAACAAAACAGAAAAGATGATCTTGAGTCTTTAGGTTATATACTTATATATTTTCTAAATAACAAATTGCCATGGATGAATATAGAAAAGGGGGATAATGAAAGAATTGAGAAAATTGGAATTTTAAAACAAGAAATCTCTCCAGAAGAATTATGTGAAAACTTGCCTTCTCAAATACTAAAGTAATTTTATTTATATATTCTTAGTATAGGTATGTGAAATATGTTAAAGGACTATCTGTTAGGGTTAAGCCTAATTATGTACAATTAAAAGATTTATTTAAGATTGAAAATCTAAATACTAATATGCCTTTTGATTGGAATAAAAGGGTAAGAGTAAACAAAAAAATGAATTCAAATAAATCCATAAAATCTTCTAAATCTGCAAAAATGTATAATAAATCAAAATCATAATTTCATAAAACACAAAATAATATTCCTTAAGAATCATCATAGAAATTAATAAATTAACCTTAAACACCTATTTAAAAATAACATTAAACATTGATATTTCAAGATTAAAATGATAAAACATTTTATCATTCAAGTGATGATAATTAATAATAAAATAGTTTAAGTGATCAGAATAAAGATAAAGAAAGTGTAAAAGTAGGTTATTCTATTAGTTATGAACCATCTAAGTTTTCAAAATATTCTCTACATAATAAAAGTCCAATACCTTAGTAATAAAAAGAAAGAGCAAGAGTGTCAACTTTAGATGCAAATCCTTAAGATTGTTTTATAATGGATTTTAAAACAGATTAACAGTTATAAGAATTTGAAAATTAAGATTTAGCAATCAAGTATGACATGCTATTTTATTAATCAATTCTTTACAATTATAAAAACCCTATCCTTGAATTCAAAGCTAGTAAATGCCATATTTTTGATTGAATATTTTTATATTTAAAAAATTTTTCCTCTTTGACTAATTTTAAAAAATATATATATAACGAAATTTTTTATGTAAAATTATCTTTAATTCATAAATAAGATATTTCTGACCTTAATACAGATTTTTAGATTATCTTTAAAATAATAATTAAATTTGAGAATAACAAATGAATCTCAGTTAATCTAAATTTGAATTTGATGATATGATGGAATAAATTGAAAATGATTCTCCTTTGTAAAGTATTCAAAAAAAGAATACATCAGCTCTAAAGAATTTAGATTTATGTGAAGTTTTAAATGATGAAATCGAATAATTTAATTATTCAGCTAAAAGCTTATCAGAAAGTTAGTCTAAAACATAAATATGACTTTTTATTATTTGTTAGTGATTAATTTTAAATATACTGATTAAACAAGATAAATAATTATATTTATTCCAGATTTATAAGTCTCAGTAATATTGTTTTCAATTAATATTTAAAATAAATAATGGGCTGTATGAATTCTAAACCTTCTTATAAATCTTAACCTACAACTTCTAGAAAGACTTAGATATAATTATAATTAAATAGCTAAGAAGAAAGTCCATATGTGATTAAAAAGAATCCAATATTTTAGAGAAGAGCCCCTTAAAAATCAAATGTTAGCCCTTTACAAACTGCCTCTTTTATCTAAAGAAATAAGTGAGACTTAAACATAAAATGATCTTTCTTTATTTTACAATAAATAATCTATAAATATTGAATTCTTATAATTGTAACTTATGATAAATGATGAAAGTGAAAGAATATATAAATTCTGAAGAGAACTTTATAAAACCAGTTATTAGAATAGTGGCCTTAAAAAATAAATATTTTGGATTTAGAGTAAGATTTTAATAAAGATTATTTTTTATATGTTTAGATAATTATAGAAATTAGGTTTCGTATAATAGTAATTATTATCAATCTCTGGATTTTTCTTTAATATTACCTTAAGATAATTAACCTGCTTTTCGGCCAATTATTCCACCAACTACACCTCCTATTGCAAATCCGAATCCTTTTAACATTGAAAGAGCTCCAATTACACCTGAAAATGCTACTGTAATTTTATTACTTCTTCTATTAAAAATTTCAATTATAAAATTACAGATTTAAAGTGTCATCTAAAGCTTAATCTGCTTACTATTTAATTTAATTGACATTTGTGTCTGATTTCTATGTTTGATCTGTTATAATATCTAATGGGGCTTCATTTTTAGAAACAAAAAAATCAATATTATTTTAAACATCCTTTATGAAATACAAGTCTTTTTAAATTTATGAAAGTTATTGTATTTCTTCTTAGTTCTAGAAATTCGTCATTTCTTCTAAAGAGTTTTCTTTAAGTTCAGAAAAGTCTGGTTATTGCATTATAAGTACTTAAATAAATTAATGGAATATAAAATAATCTGTAGAATATGCAATTTGCCAATTAAGATAGATTTTCTTAAATTACATAACGAAGCTTGTAAAACATGTGCTGAGTTTAGAAGAAAAGAAATAAAATTGAATTTGTAAGTTGCTAAAGTTTGTGAAAAAGCTTATAAAAAGAAGCACTAAATTCATTCAAGGGGTTAAAAATAGTATTCTGTTCTATCTAAATAGTCTTAATTCTCTGAGATTGAAATGGGATTAGATGTCACATTAGTATACTTAGGAAATTTATTAGGAATATAAACTACTTTAACTCTTGATTTCTTATGGAGAGAGAACATTAAATTCTGAAGTTGATGCTAAATGTAATTTTATAAAATCACTATATTAGATCATCTTATTACTTAAAATGAATTTATGTAAGCCTAACAAATAATAAGTAACCCTTATATTTTGAATTTGATAGAGCAAATGAATAAGCTCATTAATTAAAGATTAGACATATGTTATAAAAGTAAAAAGTATTGAAAGATTATAAGCTAAATTTCAAAGCATCCCAAGTATATCATTTAGATTAAGTAAATTCAGTAAAGACAGTCCTAAATCTATTAATGAAACTAATAACAGAATGAATTCATTTTCTGATTATTTAAACTCTTCTAAGTATAAATTTATGAAATCAATCAAGTTTTTCTGAAGATACACAGTCAGATAAAAAAAGTATTTCTCGACCAGATACTCCTGTTAAATCTATATCTATTATTGATAATCTAAGAAAAAAAGGTAAACTGTCCAAATTCCTATAGAGACAGTCGACTTTTTCATCAGAAGAAGAATAAAATTTAGAATAACCAAAACTTCGATAATAAATTAAAAAGAAAAGTTATTTTGCTAGAATAGGAAGTTCAGATAGTGATACAGATGATATTACTAGTAATATTGTAGAATAAAATAATTAAATATGTAAAGAAAATGATTAAAATTTTGAATCTGCTTGTTTTCTTGAATTATAGAGAGGATATTTTTCTGATACTGAAATTATTAGATTAGATATTGAAAATAAGATAAAGGAAAAAAATATTGGTTTAAAAGACTTTAATTTCATAAGATAAATAGGGTAAGGAGCTTATGGAAGTGTATTTTTAGTAAAAAGAATTATAACCGGAGATTTATATGCAATGAAAATAATAAATTGTTGTAATAAACGATTTGAAAGATTGTTAGAATAATTGAAATAAGAAAGAAATATATTAGAAATCTTAACTGGCGATTATGTAGTAAAAGCTTATTATTCTTTTTAACATGAATCATCTTTATGTTTTGCATAAGAATATATGATTGGAGGAGATTTTTCCAAAATTCTCATCAATGAAGGAGTAAATTTATAAATTTATTCTAGGCTTTTGATGAGAATATAGCTAGACATTATTTTTCAGAGATTTTAATAGCATTAGAATATTTACATAATAATAATATTGTTCATAGAGATCTTAAACCAGAAAATATTCTTTTAGATTAATATGGACATATTAAATTAGCTGATTTTGGACTTAGTGAATTAGGTATAAATAAAAAAATGATTAAAAAATGTAGTCAATAAAATTTTTCATAAAGTGATTCATCTCCATCAACAATATATTAAATGAAAAAAGGAAGATCATTTAAAAAATCTAATATTATATCTGAGAATGCTGAGAGAAGAATTATAGGAACTCCTGATTATATTGCTCCAGAAATAATTAGAGGTTAATCTTTTTCACATAAATCTCAGGATTTTTGGTCACTTGGAATCATTTTATATGAATTCTTAGTAGGTATACCACCTTTTAATGATGAATCAGTTGAAAAAATTTATTAAAATATATTAGATGGAAATATAGAATGGCCAGAAATTGGTGATGATCCAGAAGAATAAATTTCATAATAAGCTTTTGATTTTTTTAAAAAATTATTAAATCCAGATTATACTTAAAGATTAGGATATGGATCAATTGAAGAAATCAAAAATCATCCATTTTTAGCATCTATTAATTGGGAATAATTAAGAAATACTCCTGGCCCTATTATTCCTTAAATTAATTAAAATTTTTCACCATTTGAAAATGTTGCAGAAAAAGTTTAGAAATTTTTAAAAAAAGGAGAAAGAAAATAAATTTAAATTATTAATAAATTATAAGAAGAATTAGAATATTTAGAAAGAATTGATTTACTAGTGGCAAAAAATGAAAATGAGGCTTAATTGATTAAATAATAATTATAATTATTTTCATGAAATAAAACTCATTTAAAACTGGTATTATTGGTGGATCTTTTGATCCTCCTACAATTGGTCATCTTTTAATGATAGCAGAATTAATAAACTAAAAGATTTTACACAAAATTGTTTTAGTCCCATGTGGTAATAGAAAAGATAAATAATTAACTGATGGATTTCATAGATATAAAATGCTATAATTGATTGTAGAAAGTATTTGAATATATAAAGAACTTAAGATCAATTTCAAAATTTAGATTAAATTGTTATTGATGATTATGAAGTATAAAATGGATAATTAGTACCCACTTATTTTATGCTATAAAAAATGAGAGAAAAATATTAAAATGTGTATTTTGTAATAGGCAGTGATTTATTAAATGGCTTAAACAAATGGGTTGAAGGTTCAAAATTAATTGCAGAAACTAATTTTATCATCCTCAATAGAAATTCACATAAAATCGATTAAATTACAAATTTACCTCCACATTATGAACTTGTATAAGATTTTGAATATGGAATTAGTTCAACTGAAATTAGGAAAAGAATAAAAAATGCAAAAACTAAATATTTTGATTGTTTAGGTATACTAACTCCAGAAATTATAGATTATATTAAAATAAATAATTTATATTAAGAATGATTTATTTAATACATTTTGATCAATATAATACTATGAAGCAACATTATATATAAAAATTATATTTCACAAAAAACAATACTAATACCATCATACAAACTTTTATTATTTGTTCAAAAGTATTTTATATTTTATTCAGTATTTGCTATTTCTTTATAATAACGATTAAATAGAGTATCAACCTGCTTTGACTTTTCCTCGTATTATTAGTTAATCTACTATTTTTAGATGCACCTTTTAACATGATTAATCGTAAATTATTCGATTTTTTATAAAATAGGCTTTTATATATTAGTCAAATTTTGAAATAGTTTACCATTTTAGACTAAATCATCAAGAAAAGCCTAAAAAGAATAATGAAAGTGTTTGTCATTTTTTATAAATTTGTTAATCAAAGTATTTGTAAGTTATAATTGTTCAAATTCTTCCTTAATGCTCTTACATTTAGTTAAAATTAAATTAATGGCATTATTGAGATCAATAGGATCATTTCCTTATAATTACAATTATGAATTAGGTTTAAAAGGTTTGAGTGAACCTTATCTTAAAGATGCTCTTTTGAATCCATTACTTTATTCAGCAGCTTCTTCAGTAGGTTTATTAATAGTTTACTTCATAGATCCAATACGATTTTAAGTCTAACTATTATATGTAAATTAGGGTTTTTTAAGAATTGAAATTTTTTTATGATTAGTTTTTGATGTATCTCCATCTGGAGAGTTTTTTCCACTTAATGTTGAATCATTAATTTCATTCTCCTCAATTTCTAAATTAATCCTTGAATCTCCTAATTTTTTGAGTTCTTTGATTGTTTTAACTGTTGTAGATTGTATAATGTTCTAATCAATAATAGGTTATTGCATAAATTAAAAATATAATTAAAACAATAAATATATGTATATTTAAAAAAATAAACAAAAATGCTTTATAATCATCCCTTCCATCATTTATAGTTAATTTAAATTAAAAACAATAATGTGATTATTCTTTGAATTTTGTTTTATTTATTATTATTTATAAATAATCAAAGTAATATAATTATTTTTACAAAATTTATTAGTATATTTATCATTGTATTAATTGAAATAAGTTTAAAATAAATATCATGATAATTTTTATATAAGATTTATTCATGAGATTGCATGATTTTTTATTCATTATTTTATGGATAGAAAGCCTTAAAAATAATTTACATTAGATACTTCTAATGATGATTGTCGTCTAAGGGATGATTAAGATTTTTCAGATGATGATAAAGCAAAATCAAAAAAGGTGGATTTTAGAAGTAAATAAACTAAAAAGCTGGAAAAACAATTAATAAAATTAGATAAAGTTTAGAACTCTTAGTAACCTGTGAGTATGGAAATATATTATTTACTCAAATTCTAATAGAACTTAATTTATTAAGTTACAAGCCTTCATACCAGAATTATGAGGATTATTGAGAGCTAATTTGATTATTCCACATTATTATGATTTATAGATTAGCATTATAATTCAACTTTATATTTTAGATTATTTTTAGGGTAAATGTTATAATATAATCATTTACTGATAGGTTTACAATAAAATTTATCGATATCGCTTTTAAAAGCAACGACGATAAGAATTATTTTAAAGTAATATCAAATGAGATTTAAAGCTCTAAAATTCTAAGTTTAAATCATCTAAATTTTGTTAGTATAATGTTTTAAAAATAATTTAAAATAAAAATTAATTGGTAATAATCTATTTTAAGTATAGTATTATGTTTAAATTCTATTCTTTGTAACTTTGTAATTGAACTAATATAGAAAATCTAACAATTACGATTAGATTATCTACAAACAATATGCATCAATAAAAATTAATTAAAAACTTTCCTATAGATGTTTATGTACAAACAATAATAATGTAAAAAGTAAATCAGTGAATTGAATTATTTATGAAACCATTAGATTATTAATTTAGTATTTTTTTGTTTAATTAGACTAGAAGGGGTATTCTTGCAAAAAATATTGATTATAGAGCAGTGTTATCTATAACTTTTTTAGTATAATTTAAATTTAGTTTTAAAAAGAGTTGATCCTAAAATTATTCTAAGATTAGAGATTTCATTTTTTTAAATCGACTATTGTTAAAATTTGGTTAGATTTTTCAGGTTTAAATTGTCTTTGAAGAATCATCTTATTCTAGAATATAGAAAAACATTGATCCATTAATTATATTAATTAAAATCAGTTTGAGTTACTACTATATTGGAATCTAAACTGATCAAGAACTTGACCAATTTTATCCTGATTCATCACCATCCCATGTTTGATCTTCATATGTTACATTAATGAACCCTCAGATCCATAGGATTTATTGCAATTAGAGATTGTGCATACATGACTTCTAGGAATTTCAACTGCACTTCTTCTATTTCTTTTCCGTTTATCCTCTAATGATATATCACTCTCTTAATCTTCTAAAACTTAGAATTTTTACAATTTAGACTTAATCTCATTTTTTTCTTAGTTCACTCTTTCTAACTAATACTAAATACCACTTATATACATAAGAATGTAAAACAATATTGTAGTAATATAGCCTAATCGATTCTTTATAATAATCTATTGGTCCTTGATCCTATTCTAAATTCTCACTTTAATCCATTCTGAATACTTTTTTTTTTTATTAATGAATCTAATTTATTTGTATTTTTAAAAGTAAAGCAAATTTTCTAATTAATAATTAATTGTATTGTTTGCCACAAAGTAAACCGAAAAAATTTATGTTCTTAATTTTCTTTGAAAGTGTTTCATCTATATTCATTTCAATAAAACTTATGAAATTATCATTAAACTTTTAATAAACAACAATTTTCCACCACAAGAGAATCGTAAAGATTCGAAAAAGAAAAAATCTCCTTAAAGTTTCTCATTTGCATAAATTAAAGTAGTTAATCTGATTTCTACTCTTATTATTCAACTTTAAGGAATATTCGACTTCCTTCTTTTTTTTCTCTAAATTATTGTTATTTCTGATTAATTGATTATGTTAAAATTTATCTATATAATCCTAAATTTGTATGTAACATAAATCATACCTAGAGTTCCTATCCTTATCAAATTCAAACATATTTTTTGTTAATAATATTTCATTTGCTCATAGGTGGAAATATTTACCTCAAATTTATAATTATAAAATGTAAACATATAAAAAATTTTAACTATTGGTAACTATACATTTATATATATCATAAAATATTGAATTTAATTTTTTATATGACCGACAAATTATTTAACATTCATTAAAAACTTAATAGTGTTATTTTTAATTGTAGAAGTAGATTCTAATAATCTATCAAATATTATTAATTGTAAAATGCTTTATTTATAACCAATCAATAATTTTGAAAAAATAATGATTTTTTCACATAAAATTGTAAAACTTTTGGGGTGAAAAACAATGTTTTTGAAATAGATTGTGTTTTTGGCTAATTTAGCTAATTATTTTTGTAAGACTTCCTCTATAAACTTTTTGTTAACATTTAAGAAATCTATTTCTAATAATCAAAAGACTGATTTATTCTTATAAACTAATTATTATATTATTTTTTCTAATAATATAATATTAAATTAGATTCAGAATTTTTTGATGCCCAATACAATTTAATCTTTGGAAGTCTTTAAGAATTTAAGTGTAAATAGCATGATCAAATAATATGATTATGCATTATAGAATATTAATGAATTGCAAATTTAAATTGAATAATTGGAAAAAAGTGCTATAGAAATAATTGTTGAAAAAGATTAAATTATAGAGCAATTAGAATTATAGTTGTAACATTCTTCTAGAAGGCCAAGCTTAAATAATTAAGAAGAAATTGCCTAATACAAGATGTAGCTAATTATAGTTAAATTTTAGCCATATTCAAGAATTATAGACAAGATTAGAGCATTTGTAAACTAAGCATTATGAATAATTGTAAGAATAAGAAAAAGTGTGGAATTAATATTTATTAGATTAAATTGCATAAAAAGAACATACAGTTGATTAGAAATTAAAGAGCCATTTAGAATAAATTTTTATTTTAGAAGATAAAATAAATAAATTAGAGAATGAAGTAAAACTTAAATTTTAAAGTAGTTAGAAATTAAGGAAAATCTGTAAATTTCTCTAATAAACTAAAATAAACATTTAAAAGAGTGCAATTCAAAATTAGAAGAAGTTTAAATTACTTAAAATAGATAATTACTTAAATTACAAATAGAGATGGAATAATTATAATCTAATAGTTGTAAGGAGAAAAATTAGTTTTTAGAGAAAATTAATGTAATTTATGAAACAAATTATATAGATAACTCATTAAGAATTATAAGAGTTGTAATAGTAGAGTTCAGCATTTAAAATCCAAAATTAATTATTAAATAATCAAAATAAGATATTCACTAATACAATCAGCGAGTTGATGATAAAAAAAGCAGAGTTAGAATAGCTTATCTAATCATAAAAATAAGAATCAATTGGTAATGGAAAAACAGGAGCATTTTCTTCGATTGATGAATAAGGAGAAAATCATCATATTCGAGAAGATATAAACACAACTGCATTTGATATTAACGAAGAAACAAGGGATATAAAATAAGAATTGGCGTCTTTTTAATTTGATGAAAACAACATTAATTTTAATCATTTAAAAAAAAGTTGTTCTAATTATTCTTTTCATTCAGAAAAAAAAGATCATGTTGATTTAGAAATTCATCTAAAATATTCAATAAAAATAATAAAACAATTAAATGCATAAGTGCAATTACTTAACTAATAAATAAAAGTGTTAAAAAGATATTATATTAATGAAAAGAATTCAAAAGAATATTTAAACATTATGGAGTAAAACTACTCAAATTCAGTTAAGACATTATAAGAGTAAATTAAGACTCTAGAAGAGAAATTGGGAATACAAAATTAAGAAATAATATATTTAAAATAAAAATTAAAGTAATATACTCAAAAGCTCATAAAATACAACAAAAGATAGATAAATAACCCAAATAAATGAATTTAATTTATACTCAAGCTTTTAATTAATAAAATAATTGCTATATAAGTAAAAATATTATTATTTGATGATAATATTTTTATTTTAAAATCATGAAGCCATGGATTCTATTCCCATCATCATTGATTCTAAAGAACTTACTAAATCTTATCTTGCAGCAGGATTCAATTCATCGTATTTTTTTTTTGTTTCTTTCAAGTTCTACCATATGTATAAAAATTACTTAAATTTATGGTAATAGAGCCTGGGCTGTTTAATAATCATTATTTTAAAATTTAGTTTAAATAATTTATTCTAACTTTTTTGAAGCTGCTTAAAATCTATTCTCATCAATTTGTTTCAAAACATTTTATTGTACATTGTGAGCATAATCAGCTTTATATTTAGTAATTTCATTTTCATATTTCTCTTTTAATAATTATAAATGTTATTTATTTTAATTATAAGTCCAAGTATTATTGTCATTCCTAAGGTATCTTTCAAAATTTTTAGTAACTTTTACAACTGATGTGTCAGATTTTTAGAAATAAATAACAGCTTAATAAGGATCTTGATCTAATTTTCTGAATCCCTTTTTAATAGAAAAGAATTCTGGATTCTAATTCTCATTTTATTAGGGAGCAGCTAATTATGTAATTTTATCAATATTATCAAAAGTAGTAGCTTATAATTGTTATTATAGATTAACACCAGCAACAGCTAAAAACCAATTAACTTCAATTTTTTATTTCTTATCTTATTTAAGTTCTGGAAATTCTACAGATTTAGCATCTCCAACAGTTTACCCTAAGATAATAAAATAATGTGAGATACTTTATTAATTTTTTGGAACAGGGAAAGAAGCTTCTTATGATTATTATTTTTGTTAACCTGGGACTGGGAAATATGTAACATCACTTGATTATTAAGTTGGTTATGTAGGAGGTTAATATGAAGGAGGAGGAGGCTAAAATTATTATTATGTAGGTGGAGGAGGTGGCATAATCTTTTGTTAAGGTGGAGGGGGAGGCTAAGGTGAAACTTATTAAACAGGTGGAGGTGGTGGTGGTGGATTATTTTAGACGGGAGGAGGAGGAGGAGGAGGTAATTATTAACCTGGTATTGCTGAAGGTGGATTAGTGGTTGGTTTAGCAGCAGGTGGACCAGGAGGTCTAGGTGGTGGTGGAGGGGGCTTTAAATAATTTATAAGATTTTATATACAGCTCCTTTAGGAGGAGGAGGAGGTGGTGGTGGAGGTGGAGGAGGAGGGGCTGCTTTATTGACAATAACTTTGGTATTAGGAGGTGCATTTTGTTATGATTATACAGGTCCTGAATCTTATTAATTTAAGAGAGCAAGCTTAGCTTGGACATCACCTGTATTAGTAGGGGCAGGAGGTTTATTTTTAGCTTCATATGCTGCTCTCTCCTCTGGTGTCATTCTTTGCAAGGCCAATTTGGCCTATCTTGCTTACAATTCTGCCATCATGACTTTATAATTATATAAAATATGTAAATTCCAAGTTTATTAAATCCTGGTTATCCAGTTTGATTTTTATATTTTCTGCAGGGCTTATTTAATTTACTTCAATATTTCTTGAATCAAAAATGAAAGGTTGTTTTCGAGTTATTCTGAAATTTAATCTAATTTCTTTTGATCTATCTTTCATCATATTGAGTTATAATTGGATACATATATTGCTTGCTTTAACTCAATATCTTCCTGAAGTTATTCATACTGTAATTTTTTTTTAAAAATACCAATTTTTTAGATTTATGGAGCTGCTGGATCTACATTTTCTTGCTATTCTTCTTCAAATTCTTACTCATCAACTTATTCCTTGTAAGCAGCTATTTCTCTGTGGTTATTTTATCGGTCATTTATGCTTAAGAATCTTTAAAATCACCCAGATCCAATAATTGTTGAATTTCAATCTCTTCATTTCCATTGCTATTAGAAATTTCCTTGATAATCTTAATTTAGATATAAGAAATCTATTTACTTAGATTGATAATTCTGAAGATTTATCAATCTAAGTATATAAAAAAGGTCATCTACTGCCTTTCTAGTTTTGAAATTGCTTGGTTGGAATAGATATTATTTAGTTGAATAGATTTTTTTTCAACATCATCATAATAAATGCAATACACTTCTAAATACTAATTATATTGATTTATCCATTCAGGACTTTTCAATATTTAAATAGGACTTCCTTTATAGTTAACTAAAATAAGAATGAATGGAACTTTATACATAATCTTAAGACATGATTAATTATTTTATATATTAGAATACATTGATATCATTGATTAATGAGTTCTCTGATTTCTTCTTCCTCTTAATCGACCTTTTATTCGGGGAATCTGACTTTATCTGGGACTTCAATGGGAATTCCTTTCTTGCCTAAAAAGATAAATTTAAATAAAATACCAGATGGGTCATATGGTCTGTAGATCTTTACTTTGACTCCAATGATACCTTATTTGAAGAAGCAATGTCTAACAGCAACATCAATCAAATCCTTCTTTGGTTGACCTGTAGAGATAATGTAACCAGCTCTGTATTTCATAGACTTGGCTCTTTATTGTCCCAATTTACCAGAGATAATACATTCAGCACCAATAGCACCATCAGCCATGATTTATTTCAAGACTGCATTAGCAGCTGTTCTAACTGGTACTTGAGCAAGTAATTTTGTCTTGAGTGATTCAGCTTAGGCTGGAGCACATAATCCTTTTGATTGAACTCTAGCGACGATTAATTAAAGAGCCTCTAAATTAAAGATATAAATTAATAAAAGTACCTTTGGCATATCCAAATCTCTTTTGGATTAAGCTTGTAAGTTCTCTTAATTTTCTTCCTTCTGGTCCTGTGACTCCTGCTGTGTTGGCAGCCTTAATTTCAATGTCAGTTTAGACTGGGGTTGTTCTGACAACAAATCCAGCATAACCAGCGTCAGTCAAAGCTCTGCTCAAAAAGGAGTGTAATTCAGCTTAGAAGACACCATCTGCAACAAACTTCTTCTTTTTGTTCATTTATCTGACCTTGCTCATGATTTTGTTTTTGATTTTAAAAAAAAATTTAATTAAGATTTTTGTTTACAAACTAATATGTATTTCTTTAAAACTGAGTCATTATATATATATATAAAATTTAAAAGAATTTTAATAGAAAAATAGTTGTGCCTTCAACATATGCAAATTATCAAATCTGTATGTCTATAAAGAGAATCCAATAGATAATAATATTATTCTTGTGAATGACAATAATGTGAAATAACAGCTTTTGAATAACAAGATTAATCTATTTATTATTGTTAGAATATAAATGGGATTTTACATGGAAGAGAAATTATAATAGGCCAAAAATCTTTAAGATGGTCTATTTAAAAATGAATAACTTGTATATGAATTCTGGCTGGTATAAAATTAAACAAAATAAATAATCTAAAAGTAGGAATAGTCGATGAATAGATTCATAGATAAGTGAAATCAATCATATACCAATTATTTAAAAACTATTAAGGATTATGATGATTAAAAAACATCAAACATAAAAATATTTGAATGGGATAAATATGAGTAAGAGTACATCACAAAAATATTATAAAATTTAACCCTAAAGTAATGAATCGAAATTGTAATTGTTACTATATTTTGAAATTCAAGAGGAGTATCATTATCTATAATTTCTAAAAATTAAGAAGCTAAATTAATCAATAAGGATTTATGATATTTTTGAAGTATCACGAAGGATAATTAAAATATGGGAGTGGATGTTCATGAGAAATATTTACAATTTTAGAATGAACCAGATATAATAAGAAACAATCATGAATTAAAATACGCTTTTATAATAGAGAGGTTAATCCTAATAGCATAGCTGGAGGATATTGGGAGAATGGAATATTGATAGGGATAGTAATTGTAAATATATTAGTAAAGAGGATTAAATAAATCTGTAGTAGAATATCCAAAAAGAAATATAAGAAATAATAAAGATAATCAAATGATAAAAATTTCTTCATTAGAATTCAAGAGTATTATTTTAATAATCAACTATTGCATTTTTTAATTAAATATTTGGAATGTAATTGCCCTAAATGATTTATCTTGTTGATGGATCGAAAGGTCCGTTAACTCTTATACATTCATTTATGGAACATTTTTCATAAGTATGTCCACTACTCAATAAGATAGGCTCAAACATCAACTCTTGAGTTATTATGCATGTGTAACATTCTATTGATGTTGGAACATACTATTCCTTTGTTCCTGGATATGATAACTTACTTAAATTTATTGTTTTTCCATATTATGTATTTAGACTATCCTTTAATTTTATGAATTCTTAAAATATTATAATATAGAACCCTTATAATTCTCTGACTTTTCTAGCTTAGATTTTAGAATAAGCCCTTGCGAATAGTTGTAATCAACACTTTCTTTCAATTAGGGTTTTAAATCGATATGTTTTTAAGCTTCATTATTTTATTACACAATACCTAAAAACAAGAAATTTACACCTTCTTATGCTTAATTCAAGCATTTATCTTGTTATCCTAAAATCAAATAAATTGTTCCCAAAACAAAATAAGCTCGAACATTTCGATTATCTAATTATAAAGCTTGCATAGCGTCCTTCTTAACGTTATCATAATCTTAGACAGTTCGATAGGCAACAGCACGATTTGAATAATAGATTGATTCTTTATCATATAAATTCTATCAATTTATCAAATTAAGTACTATTGCCTATGTATATGCAATGATAGCTTCTTTAAATTATTTTTACTGCATATATTGATTACCCTTTTCTTTGAATTAAAATGATTATTCTTTGATTTCTGATTCTGAGAGAATTTCAGAAACTGAAGGCACACTGTTGATTTTAGGAGAATTGTGCGTTTATCTTACATCACAGCAATTACCCATTCGTTTTTATAATAAATATCAATATTAAATTGAATGCTATTTTAAATATGTATTAACATCATAAACTATTACCAATAAAATTCAAACTCCCTCCTGTGTTTTTTTTTGCTCTAAAAAGTTCTTACTAAAAACTTGATTTTTAAATGGCAAAAACTTTTCTGCCTTTCATATTAAATATAGGATTCACGAACTAAAATTTGGCCTCAATTATAAGAACTAATTAAATATATATCTTACGATATTTATTCTAAAAGATTCTTTAAATATACCTAAGATATGTTTCTTATAGTATCTGTTAATCATTTCTTTAGTATATCCTTCTTCTTTAAAAAAAGAACATGTATTTTTATAATAGTTTGTTTAAATCATAATTTATTCATTAAATATTGATTTTTATAAAATCATCATTCCTTTTATGTTCTGCAAAAGGTTTTTTCTTATTTTTAAATAATCTATCAATTATGAGCATATCTTATTGATCAAATCTAACACAAAGATATTCTCCCAAAAATATAGTTAGAATACTGATAATCGTATTTATTATTAGCCACAATTTATTAAATTCAGATGAACTTAAAACACAACAAATAATGAAATGCCATAAATACAAAGAAAATACAAAATCTAGAACTTTGCTTCCTTTCACAACAATAAAGATCTACAATTATAAAATAAATTTACTAATCCGCTTACAACAACTAAAATGTTAAAAATATTACTCAATAGGTTAACACTAAAGTAAGTTTCATAGTTGTAGATTCCAAAGTCCCAAATTTACCCTAAATGAAACTAATTATTAATGATTCATTTAATACTTTACTTATAATCCAACAGCAAAATCCAAAAAAAGGCACACTATTATCATTCCACTATAGTATGTGCACAAAAGAGAAAATAATTGTGTAAGAATCATTTTACTATTGAAATTGTCTTTCTTTCTAAAACGTTCTTTCATTAAATAATTAAAATAACTATCATTAAACAAATTGAATTGATTTGTAATTCTATTCCAACTATTTTATTACATCAACGGATATGGATGAACTTGAACTAAATGATGAATTTACTTGGAGATTTTAAATACTAATGTACATGACTATTCTCCTTTTAAAGATTTGACTTCTTCAATAAATAAATCAAATCCATTATTAATTCCTTTGCAATCTCTTAAGTCCAATGTTAATTTTTATAACTTTTATTTGCTTATCAAAATGGCTACCCAAGTCAGAATGGATGTAAGTATATTTGATATATCAATTTCTTTTTCTTAACTATACTAATTATAATATATACTCATTAAAAATGATTTAAGTCTAATTCAATGATGATAGATTTTTTAATTCTGTTACTAGCTTTTTAGTAGATATTTATTTACTACTTATATAAAATTTTTATAGATATGCTGCTTTATAATTTTTTAAAAAGTGTGACAAATCATCAAGTAAAATTTAATTGCAATTTTTTAGTTTTAAAATTTTCAAATGTTAAATTTTTGAGGAATAAATTTATTTTAAAACTTCTCCATTTATTTTAGTATTTGATAAATTCATTGATATGATATTAGTAATAAATTAGGATTATAAAAAATGTTTCATTCCATAGTGAGTGATATCTTATTTTTTTAAATTCAAATATTCTATATTCTATAGACCTTAAGAATGTGCAATTCTTTTAAGTGTTTCATCTTTAATATAAGTATTCTCTTCCATGTCATAATATGACAGATAACCAAATTTTTCTAATTATCTAATATTCTCAAATAGACTGTTAGTTGTATTGATTGAAATTTTAAAATCAATTATTTATTATTCCCATTACTTAGAATTTGATTCCATAAGAATGACTTTTTTTCCTAATTATGTATCCTAAAATTTCTTCAAATCTTTATTAGTTAGAGATGTTTTATTTAAATTCAATTAACTAAGATTAGGTAAATAGACAGGAGTAAATAATTTAAGCAGATCAGAATCCACCCATTTATTATTCGAGATATCTAATAGAATTAATTTTTAAGATTTGTCACAAATAATAAAATCTTAAAAATTTAAACACCACTAGCATCCAGCCATTCTTAATTTATGAAGTTTGTTTAGATTATCAGAATTAATTAATGCAGTAACTGTTTAAACTGATAATTATGTATAAGACAAATCTAAATCTCTCACCTATGTAACAGATTAGCTCATTAAAATCTAATTAAGTTAACTATCTTTAATTAATGAATTGCTAAAGCTTAATACTTCAATCTATTAATAAGAATGTGATAATAATTTACCTGAGAAATCATATCGTCAGCAAATAGCCATTCTAATGTATGAGAAGATAAGGAAGTGGTCTATAAAATTAGTTCACTAACATTTGATTTTTATTGATTAAGACATTCTAGAACAATTTAGGATTCTAATATATCAGTTTATATTTCTATTTCTTTCTATTAATTTTAAATCACTTTTTTCTTTTGTTTAACACAACAAGCAGTTGTAGATTTTTATTTGACAACTTATTCTTAGATGAGTTTTCGATTTTAAACCTCCTTTTAAAGTCTTAATTATTAATCCATAAATTGCTATCCATCAAATCTTATGTAAATATAATTATTATAGTTATCTTTAAGAAATATCTATTTTTCAATTACATATCTTCGAATTTCGAAATGAGAAATTTTACATTTTAAATTTCTAATAAAACTATTTATTATTTCACAAATTAAGTCTTTATTGTTTAAATTCAATACATCAATAACAGTAAAATCATAAGGTTATTAGTATCCATAATATTTTTGAGTTATTGCATCAAATTCGAATTTGTAATAATATTTTCCTACAATGAATTCTTCATCAGTCAACCTTTCACTTATATTAAGAAAAAAATCAGCTTAAATTTTATTAATAGTAGTCCTTTGATCTAATAAACCGAAATAGAATTATGAGTTAATTTATAATTAATGTTCTTCATGATGATCATCAATTTTATTTATAAGTTTTCCATAATCTATATTAACTTCCTTATAATTAAGTTCACTAACTGTATTATATATATGCAGTTCCCCTTTTCCATGAGGCAAATTCTTTAGCCAATATCCAGAATATAGAACTTAAAGTTGATTTTAAACTAAACTTTATTTTGTGCTAAAGTTTTGTTTTGATTCTTAAAGTTGAGTTAATTGACTAATCTCAAAATCTACTTCTTCATCTAAAATAGATTTTTTGTCTTTTTTATGTCTTTGCAACTTAAATATTATATCATTTTTAGGTGCTTTATACATAATGCCATAACCTTATCTTTCTTATTATTTAATATTATATGATCCTTAATAAATTTGAGATTTTAAACTATAAGCTAATTAACAAGTACCTTATTCTGTTTTCCAGATTGTTGGAACAAATTATTATGTAAAAGATGTTTAAATAGCAGCACAGATTTAAGAATTAAATAATGTAGCTAATTCTATTGTAGATATTCTAGTATCTTCATTTTCATCTAGAAGCAATTTTAATAAAGGTTTAATTCTTTTTAATTTTTGATCGAATAGGAAAAATTTTTCAGGATACAGATAAATTTCATATTTTTCAATTAATGATGGTAAATTTTCTTTTCTTTATTCATAAAAAAGGCATTCAATTTATTTTTTAAGATTAATTTTATCTTTATGGAGTAGCAATTACAAAAGAACCAATCCTAAAGAATATATGTCTGATTTAAATGGATTATGTTTAAAATTGTTGGAGATTGCATCAATACTATGTGTAATGTGAATATTAAGTTATTAATTTTAATTGGTTGAGATATAGTGTTCAAATTTTAATGGAGACATATATAATATTGTGCCAAATATTTAATTAATTTCAACTTATTCTTGATCTTTTGGAACTTGTCTAATCGCTCCAAAATCGTGCAATATAAATTTACCATCTTGAATCAAAATATTTTCTGGTTTAATATCATTGTGAGCAGATTCTAAAATTCAATATATATAAATAGTTTACATCTTCCAATATGTAAATTATATAATTGATCTACAATATCTTTGATAATTTCTAAGATTTCATCATATGTAAAGTTTTCATTAATATTTTATTTTCTATCCATTAAATCTTCCAATGTGTTTTAAGCTAATTCTTCTTCTATGATTAAAATGTCTTGTACTTCTAAGATTTAATACTAAAATAAATAGTTTCCGACAAAGTTTTCAGCAACATCTTAATTAATCTATCTTTACATTAATGCTGCATATAGATTTTCTTATGTGTTTTGAGAAATTTTCACTGCCACTAAATGATCTTATTAATTAAGGGCTTTAAATGCTTACGATTATGTTCCAGATCCTACTTTTTTTATATCTCTATAATGTAACAAGGTTAATAAATCAATAAAATCTCTAGTTGTTTTCAAATCACAAAATCTAGATGAATTTTCCAGTATTATTTAAGTATATTGTTTTTGCTTTGAAGTTACAGTGTTCCTACTGTGAGTTCTGTTTTCTTCAACACATGACATTTTTAACAGTTGACTAAAAGTTGAGAGACTTCTTTTTTTTGATTATTTTCTTTTCATTTATATTGGTTTTGACTTAAAGAATTCAAGTATAGATGGATCATTCTTTGTAGATTTATTTACTTTATTACATAATTCTAAGAGCCATGGAAATCTTTCATTGCTTTCTTCTGGCATTTAAGTATTAAAAACTTGCATTCCAAATCTTTGAATCTCTTCAGATTTATGTTCAACCATCCAAAATGTTTATAGATTTTTATTGAAGACTTTAAAACATATTGAATTTTATGAATCTTCACATTGATCTAAGTCTATTTCTACTTCAATATTATTTAATAAATAATCCATTAATTTATATAATCCAATTTACTTATAAATTAAAGGATCAATTTAAGAGACAATTATTGTTATTTTCATAATATTCTTAACATATAATCAAGGGTAAAATGTAGGATAATATCTAAAATTGGACGATTCCATATTATTGAACTTAATTATTTTATTTATAAAAATACCTTAAAACAACATTATTCTTTTCAAGTGGAACAATCTCTGAATACATTCCTTTTTATTAATAGATTATGGTTTTCTAATACCAAAATCTCTTTTTGGTTCATATTGAATATAAGGTTTGTCAGGAATAATATACGTAAGTATTCCATAAGATTCAGATCTCAATTCTAGAGTGAATTCATCTTCATAAACAAAAGAAACTCCATTTGGGAAACATTAGAAAATACAAAATATTACATTCCAGCAATATTCTAGAGATGAAATTTAATATTTACTAAATCTCTATTCAATCTCACATCTTATTATTTCTGCTCTTAAAAACTTAATAATTGATTTATAATTTTAAGCTTTATCTCTGATTAACTTGTTTTATCACTTCAATTTAGTTTATATTTAAATATTATAACTTATTATCATAATAAATAATTTTCATTAAATTTCTTATCATCAGTTGTTTCATTTTTAACATCAAATGATATCAAATTTGTATTGATATAAATTTAATTGTTATAATGATATGTCTATATATATTAAAGCAGATATAAATTTTATATATTAAAACTTTTATTGTTTGTAAAATACTATGGTTGATTGACAGAAATAATTTTTTTCTTTTTTATGAATAAGAAAAAGTTGAAATTATGCTCAATTTGTTAGAATGTAATATCTAACAAAATAAATGAATTGCTTATTTACAACCATTTTTTAGCTGAGGTTATGTGTATTTTCGTTTAATAAATTTGAAAATTTAAACTAAAAAAAAAATATTTCTTCGTATTTCGTTATTTTGGAATGAAATAATTTAAATACTTAAATTATTCTTAAAAATACAATAAATCAACATTCTTTGAATTGATCTAAGAATTCGAGGAGAACAATTTAAAACTTTTTAGTTATCAATTACATTTTTTTCAACTGATTATAGATTATTCTTCAAATGATAAAGAGTTGCTGAATAAAAAATGAATTTTTCAGAATAGATAGAATTAAAATGAAAAAGTATTGAAAATTTCATGAATTTTAAACAATTCCAATAAATTCAAACACATTTAGAAGAATGATAGTAATGAAATTCAACAATCAGTTTTGTTTTTAAGATTTTATTTTATTTTAATTCTAAATTTATTGAATAAACATTATCTATCCTCTAACTTTAATGGTTATATATTGTAACCTACAAGGTTATAATTCACAACCTATTGGTTATGATTTCTTTAAATAAGTTTATAATAGTCAGCCCAAGTTATTGAATTTGATTAGATTTATCTTTTGAACATCATTTTTAAGCAACTTTGTTTATATTGATGAGTTGAATTTTTTCGAGGAGATAAAATCATCATCTAAAATGATTAAGTAGGAGTCTTTGTCTCTATTTTTGGACAACTTTCTTAATGAGATGCATAAAAATTTTCTATTGAACGTCTTCGTTATTATGTTGTTGATCTTAATGGAATCTTTACTTTATTGTTAATATTTTTTGGCAATTTTAGTTGATTCTTTCCTATATATACTTTATCAGAATTCCCATTCCATGGCTCTAGATTTATATCATTACTTTATTATTTATTCTAAACATCATAATCTTCCTCAATATTCAATAATTTAAATTATGGATCATCGAAATTCATTAGAAATTTTCTGTAAATTTAATTATATTTCTTAATTCTTATATTAAATGCCAGACTATTTTTATTTCTATATTAAACATTTTAATATTATTATTAATCTATTGNAATGAATTGCTTATTTACAACCATTTTTTAGCTGAGGTTATGTGTATTTTCGTTTAATAAATTTGAAAATTTAAACTAAAAAAAAAATATTTCTTCGTATTTCGTTATTTTGGAATGAAATAATTTAAATACTTAAATTATTCTTAAAAATACAATAAATCAACATTCTTTGAATTGATCTAAGAATTCGAGGAGAACAATTTAAAACTTTTTAGTTATCAATTACATTTTTTTCAACTGATTATAGATTATTCTTCAAATGATAAAGAGTTGCTGAATAAAAAATGAATTTTTCAGAATAGATAGAATTAAAATGAAAAAGTATTGAAAATTTCATGAATTTTAAACAATTCCAATAAATTCAAACACATTTAGAAGAATGATAGTAATGAAATTCAACAATCAGTTTTGTTTTTAAGATTTTATTTTATTTTAATTCTAAATTTATTGAATAAACATTATCTATCCTCTAACTTTAATGGTTATATATTGTAACCTACAAGGTTATAATTCACAACCTATTGGTTATGATTTCTTTAAATAAGTTTATAATAGTCAGCCCAAGTTATTGAATTTGATTAGATTTATCTTTTGAACATCATTTTTAAGCAACTTTGTTTATATTGATGAGTTGAATTTTTTCGAGGAGATAAAATCATCATCTAAAATGATTAAGTAGGAGTCTTTGTCTCTATTTTTGGACAACTTTCTTAATGAGATGCATAAAAATTTTCTATTGAACGTCTTCGTTATTATGTTGTTGATCTTAATGGAATCTTTACTTTATTGTTAATATTTTTTGGCAATTTTAGTTGATTCTTTCCTATATATACTTTATCAGAATTCCCATTCCATGGCTCTAGATTTATATCATTACTTTATTATTTATTCTAAACATCATAATCTTCCTCAATATTCAATAATTTAAATTATGGATCATCGAAATTCATTAGAAATTTTCTGTAAATTTAATTATATTTCTTAATTCTTATATTAAATGCCAGACTATTTTTATTTCTATATTAAACATTTTAATATTATTATTAATCTATTGTATTGTATGATCTCATTTAATTATCTGAACTAAATTTAAATAATTCTTGCTTCTTTTTATGACAATTATTTTTTAACTTCTCAAACTCTTTTTAAATATATATTTCTAATGTATTAATCTCTAAAGAAACCCTAATAATTGATCAATTGATTTATTAATATTTGGTAAATAAAAAAATATCTTTTTGATTCATTCTATTTTTTAAAGTCTTTATTTAGTTTGCTTAAACAATAATTATTTTCTTCTATCTTTAAATACAAGAATTCTAACATACGAATCATGTCTTAGAAGTAGATTCAAATGAATTTGAAGTTCATGAAATAATTTCTTAAGGAGGTTTTTCGATTGTGCATCGTGGATATTTTAGGGGTACAGAAGTAATTACATATTTCTAAATTAGATTACAATCAAAAAGATATTTAATCCAAATATTACTCAATAATTATTAGATGAAATTAACAATAAATTGAAATGCTTTCTTTATTAAGACATCCAAATATAGTTCTATTGATGGCTTGTTTTACAAAACCACCTAACTTGGCGATTGCAACTGAATTTATTTAAGGAGGAAGTTTATATCATTTATTGCATAAGACCAAGTAACGCAAAACTGATCAATTAGTCATTAAATCTCAGATTGATTAAAATATTCTATTGTTGTACATAGAGACATAAAATCTCACAATATATTATTGTAAGGATAAATAGTGATGTTGTGTGATTTTGGTTTAACAAAGACATGTGAAAGAGTTTAATTTAATATTTATAATTTGAGTTAAATTAAGGATATTAATAATTTAGTGGGACTTCAACATACATGGTTCCAGAATTATTTGCTAAAAGAGTAAAATTATGATTCAGAATTTTTAAAGGCTTATGATAAAGGTGTAGATTTGTTTGCTTATGGTACTTTATGATGGGAAATATTTGCAAGTTAGATACCTTGGGATTGTTTAGAGATGTAAGAGATTATTTAAAAGACAATTAAGAATGAATAATTACCTATTAGAAATGTACCTAAGAACATTGTTTAATTGGTTAATGAATTGAGAAACAAATATGAGACTAAGAGGCCTTCTATGGATTTGGTTGTTAAATAATTATTAAATAGATGATTTAACTTAAAATATTATTAAAATAGAATTGCTATTTTGTGTCGTTATTGTATAATATAATTTTTAACATAATTATAGTTAATTATTCAAAAATGAAAACACTTAAAGAGAAAATGTTAAAAATAGACAAAGTATTATGCATACCTATACCAATAGATATGTTAAAAGCTTAATATCCCTGAATCAAGTAAGGGTCTTTTCAAAAAGAAGAAAAATAATTCTTGTATAATGAAGGAACAAGACAAGAACATTAACAATATAAGTATGATAAGTTCAAATGCAGGATGCATAATCAGTAGAACACAATTAAAAAAGCAATAATCAATATAGATGTTATTATGTGATACAGTTAGAAGTTAAACATTATCAATGAAATAATTAAAGATGATTCATGAATAGGATTAGATTCAATGTATGTAATCACAAAAGGAAGAATTATAGAATTAGATTAACTAATTAGTGTAAATGAAAAAATAAATATAAGAGCAAGAGGAGAAAAAGAAAAAACAATTTATAACTTAAGATACTACTCTTTTGCCATAAATGCTCAAATTGTAATAGGAAAAGTTGTCTATTGAAAATGAGATTACTTAAATTGATTCTAAAATTGAATAGGTTAGATATACTAATATAAATAAATAATAATTTCTTCAAAAAAGAAATTGGAAGGAAGAGAAAAAGGTAACTCTCAATAAGATTCATATTTATAGTCATTCGAATAAAAATGGTTAGACCTTGAACAAAATGAATCAAAAATTTAAATTGATGACAAGTTGTACAATCTTTTCATACAAGATTCTCCACCATAAGAAGATTAAGTAGATTAAAAGACAATTGATACTTTAACAAAGGAAGTTGAAGATTTATTATGTTTCAAATTACCTGATGAATAAGAAGATCAATAATTATAACAAAGTCAAAGAAGCAAATTAAATTAATAATATCAATCTCCCTTATAAATTATTGAAGAAGAACAATCCATCGAATTGTCTTTTTAAAAATTATGAATATATATATAATTTTATTAATATAACTATTATGTCAATTATTAAAAACTTAGAAGATGATAGCATTATTGAAATAGATGAAAATATTCTATCAAATTCAGATGGGACTCTAAATGTAATTGAGGAATATCATTAATAAAATGAAACTATTGAAGATATATCATACAACAATTATATTCACTTTGCTATTTACTTGTTCTATTATTCAATAGTTCAAGTTTTTTTAAAATAACAATCCACGATATTGTTAATCCTTATTATACATGCATTATTAAGTACAATATCATTAATAATCAATATAATAAATTCTAATAATATTATTAATAAAGTAAAAATAGTTTCATGATTTAGTTAAAAATAGTTCTTCATTACAAAATAGAAAATAGTTTATTTTGGTTTGTCACGATGCTAAACATTATTTGCAATTTTGCTATTTATTATTTTTCATATTAAGCATTTAATCTTAAGTAATACCGATTGTATGAATAATTATCAAGATTGATATTTTTCAGTTTCTTTATTTAAGTATTTTCAAATGTTAAATTTAGTAAATATAGCAATTTGACTTTAAGATAAATGTGATGTTAATATTTATCAAAATACTTACGTAATTTTATGTTAAAAACACGGCTTATTTGATAAAGAATATTGTTTCCCTACCATAAATTGATTAATTTTGATTAAAATATTATTTATATATAATTCTATAAAATGAGCGATATAGGTGTAACAATTATCAAAATTCTAAATGCAGGATCAGCGTATAACTATTATGTTAAATTTAAAAGTATAGTTTTAGCTTTTGCAGGTGTTTGGATAATAATAAGTTAACTGATACATGGTAATTTTAATATTTTTTCATTTTTGTACCCATGCTTTTTTATGTAAATATGAATTCTAAGAATTAGATTTTTTGGATTTTTATTGGTAGCAAATGAAATTAAATTTGGGAATGTCTTAAAAGAATATGGATTTTTAAAGACTTTTCTTGGAAGAGGGTTATTTTACATTTTGTAAATATTTACATTATATTTACATTTTTAGTTTGTCTAGTTAAGTCTGTTATGCATATTTTTCAATAGCCTCGAATCATGTGTAATTAATAAATTAATTTATTTAGGGCAGGTGACATTTATGGAACAGTCTTTTTTATTTTAGGAGTCTTTTATTTGTTATTGAATTTCTATGTAATATATATATTAATTTTTTTCATAGCCAAAGGGATAATTGGGAAATATTTCAAGAGTATTATATTTATATGCTAAATTAGTCTTTGTAAATGCAATGAAAAGTTTTTTGATATTATTTAGATATATAAAATTAATAAAATATTATAAATAATTTATGTAATAACTTAATAATAATAAAAATATCAGTATGGAATCAAAACAACAATCAAAAATCAGATATTAGTATTGAACTATTAAAGTGAATTTAGAATTTTAATTTAGTGCTGTTAAGATAACACCAAATGATACATAGATGTTTAAAGTTTTACCAATTAAAAGAAAATTATTGCTAAAGTAGATATAATGGATAGAACCTTATAAGATGTAATGTTAGGAGTAAAACTACATTTCCAAATTTTATGTTATTTCATATGAAAAAAGAGAAGCCTAAAACTACTTATCATCATAATCAATCAATAAATAGGATGTCTGATGAATCAAGATTACAACATAGGTTGAAGTATAAATTTTAGATTTAAATACTAATCAAAAAAGAGTTATTCTCTATTTTTTTATATTTAAATATTTATATAAAAATGAGATATATATTTTAATTAATATAATGTAATTAAATTAACGAGAAATATATCTTCTTATTTTCTGTAGTGGAAAAATAAAAGTATGATGCAACAACAATTGAAGATTGCTATTGTAAAAATATGCTAGAAAACATATTATTGGAGTTAGTTTAATTAGAAAGGATTTCTATTCTTTAAACAATAAAATAATGAAAATAATAGGAATAATATAATGATGATATTAATGAACTTAAAAATAAAATTGATAGAAATGCATTTATTTATGATTTAGAGAAGAAATAAGAAGAAAAAGATTAAACAGATAAAATGATTGCTTCTGTATTAAGAGACAAAAAACATGAATTCCATTATGGGATATTTTTGTTGAGCTACAATTGCTTATTTTAGGAGCAATACTGAATAAAAATTGAGTAGTACTAATTCATTTCTAGCATTTTTATCTTTTCGGTAAATGATATTATACATTTTCCTTATGTCTTTCAACCATTTACTATAAAAATTCTAATCCTCTTTATATGACTTATTTATTTAGTACTGCAGGGGTTTCATTCGTTTTTAAAATTTTAGGCATAATATCCTTTATACTCTAAATTTTATTTATAGAGCTAGACTTTTAAATTTCTAAATGTTAATCTGTTTTCAAACGAGTTTTTTTGAATTGATTATTTGTTTTACTTTATTGTTATCTTTCTGTTGAAACATTAGTAGAATTGATTTCTTAAAGAGGTTGTAATACCCGTTTATTTTATTATTGACTATCTTTTGAAATAATAAATACTTTAATCTAATTTTAAACTATTCCTTTTTCTGTTCAATAATTTATTAAACCTCTGGTTAAAATTTAGGATCATTTAAATTGAATACTCTATGTGTATCATATTTGTATTATTCATTATATTATAGAAATTCCATAACTTTCTTTAATTCTTAGATTTTATTTTGATTAGTTGGAACTTTAGGAGGCCTTAAAATTTAACTTTTGTTCCTACTTTAATCAATTAAATCAGCTATAAAAAAATTGAAATACTTGATTTATTTTATTCTTAATCTTATCTTCTTTAACAAAGACTCACACTTCTTTTCTATGATTATTGTTTCCTATTAACTATCTCTATTATTTTATTATAGATCAAATGAATTACAATTCACAACTTAATAAATTTGAGGAGAACTCTATTGGTCATATTCATGTAACCATCCTGAAATAGATAATGTTTGATGTGACAATTGCATTTTTATTATATATATAGTTGTTAAATAATAATAGTTATATTCAAAAAACTCTATCAGTTTATGCAAAGTAATTAATTGTATTGTACATACTTAATTTGACTGAAGGTGAATTAGTTTTAATTTATTCACAAATCTTTTAGACTCCCTTTTTATTGCTGTTCTTTAAACTTTTAGCAAATAATTTTTAAGCTAACTAAAATCTATAAATTTCTCTCTCCTCTGTTGTTGATGATTAATCTAACTATTCAATTTTTCTATTTGGAGACTTAATATTGTTTTAAGTTAATTACAAGATAAAATCATGTGGAGATTTGTGCCTAATAAAATATAAATTTATATATTCTACATATTTCTAGGAGAAAGCAGTTATTTACTTGATTAAATTGATTCGCTAGAGTTTTTTGTTTTTTGGAACCAATTCAATTGATTATTGTATTAAATCAGTTATTTCTTGAATCCAGGATTAGGGTTAATTGTTAATCGTTTTTCTTTCAAATAGTAATAAGTCTTTTCATATGACCACTTTTAAGAGTACATCAGATAGGCTATAACACATGCACTAGATCTTGAAACACCTGCTACGCAATGTACTAAAACTGAACCATTTTTTAATCCTTCTTCAATAACTTCATTTATTTAAGAAAAATAATCAAGTATACGAAAAGTAGCACTGTCCTCAATACTAAAAATCTATCATATTTTTAATATTTACATAATGTTTTAAATTCTATAATTTGAGAGTAATATTATTGGCTACTGTGATCACAGTCTTGATATTGTTTTATCTTAAAAGGCTAGAATTCTTAGCTGCTTTTAGACTCCCTAACCAAAGACTGTTTCCACAGCATGTATGAACTCTATCCATATCATTTGATTAAATAGAGAATCTACTCATTGATTAATTAATACAAAATTAAAAATTCAATTTTGTATTTATGTTTGTTATTTATTAACAAAATGTAGTTAAAGTAATGAAGTGGTTCAATCCTTCAATTTAATGAAGTAATGAGATTTAGATTTAAAAATAATATAAAAGAGCTTGATTTAATATTAAATTATTGCACTTAATTTGAATTCAAAAGAATGGAAGAAATGAAATAAAATTATTTAGATAGGTATCATTATTTGAATAATTAGATTGAATAACCTTCATTAGTTTCTTTATTGTGAATTGCCACTAAAGTTGATGAATCATAATGAGGATGAAGTAAATTGAAATGAATTAAATTATAGACTTGTATAGATCTGTAAAATCGACTATATACATTAATAGAGACAGGATACATAAAGGAAACAGAATAATAATTATAATAGTTGATAGAAGAGAATTATAAATTATATAATAAGGAGAATGATAAATAATTAATAAATGGTTTATCTACATCAGAAGCAAGATATGTTAAATAAATAGCTGAATTGTAACATCAAAGAGATGAGTTATAAGATGAATTAGATGAGAAGAATTTCTTATTGAATCAGATTTAATCAAAGATGGAAAGGTTTGAAATATTATCTGATAATTTAATAAAAGCTGAATAAGCAATTAAAGAGTTATCAGATGAAAACATAGAAATCAGTTAATAGTTACAATATGTATAGGAAATAAATTAACAATACAAAAATTAAATAGAAGAATTACAATAGGTGGTAATAAACAAAGAAACAACATAAAACAGGAATATTTCTACTTCTTAAATCTATTAGTTAAATGAATAGGTAGGATCATTAAGGATTGAATTGTCAGGACTATAAGCAGAACTTAAAATTAGAATGCAAATTTTAGAATAATTTAAAACTTAATTAACGAGTGATCTTGTTAAAGGGTTTCATTAGATCCTATCAAAAACTAAGTAGGAATAGTAGGCAGAAACTATTGAAGTTAAGAAACAGCATTAATAATTAAATGAAGTTACTACTTAATAAATTAATAAGTTAAGAAAAGATGTGTAGTTTTATAAGGTTCTTGAAGAAGAATACGAAAATAAAATCAAGGAAGTTTTAAATTAGAAATCAGATTTGGAATCAAAAGTTAAGTTAAAGGATGATTAATTATAGGATATTGCTTGTAAATTAGATCTCATACAATAAAATATAGAATAAACTGAGTTAAACTTTTAAAATCAATTAATCTAGGTAATAAATTAGAGAGAAAAATATAAAATTTAATTAAAAAATTCAAAATAAGGACTATAAGCCTTGTCTGAAAAGGTTTAGTCTTTATTATCATTCAATTAATTATAAACAAAGTTAATCGAAGACAAGATTTTATAATTGGAATCGAAAATTCGAGAAGAAAATAAAGAACTTATAGATGGATTAAGCTAAGAGTTAAGTTAGAGTATTGAAACTATTAAAAAATAACATAGCAGCATCAGATAATTAGAATTATAATGTTTAAAATCTAATATATAGAAAACAGATTAAATTTATAGATAATCAGAAATAAATAATAATAGATAATCAGAAATAAATAATAGATAATCAGAAATAAATAATAGATAATCTGAAATATATAATAGATAATCAGATTTTGAGTCAGTGAAAAAGTAAGATAATTCATTTATAGGAGAAAAATCTGTTTTTGAAAGATCAAATAGATTAGATGAGCAAAGAAAATATTTAGATGATTTAAAAAAGTTACATAGAACAACGAAATCTTAATTAAAAGTTAATAGAAAGTATTGAAAGTAGTTAATTAATTGTTATTAAGATTATTAATAAATTATCTATATTAAATAAGAAATTGATATCTTTAAAATATGTAAATAATTTGATATTTAACAATTCAATAATCTTAAACAACATTTCTATATTTAAATTTATATTTAGAACACATTTCTGCATTTTATAATTCTTCTAAATATCTTTAGACATTGGCTTCTAATAATCCAAATCTATCAGTTCCACTAATAGTAACTTTGGATTTTTTATGTTCTTATAATTCATTAATTCTATTGTATATGTGAACCTAATAGATATATTATTATTATAAAATACCCAACAACCAGTACAACTATTCTTGATTATAGGATTATCAACATCTTCTTCACTAGTAACTTTAAATAAAGGTTTACCATCACTACCTTCTAAGATTTCACAAGTATATTAACATCTTTTACCTTTAGTAAACATACTTGCATGTGTTCTTATACTTTTATAACCTACAGGAAATAAATTATGTTCACTATGATAAGCAGGACTTGGAATTATTCTACCAAGACTTACTAATTTGAGACTTGTGCTGACTTAATAAGGTAATTAAATTTCATTTACACTTCCTGTAGAATTAGGTTTTATTTTTTTTTATTAATCATCTTTCAACTCTGGTTTTCTTTTTATATTTGTTTGATCTCTTATTTTCTTAAAAAATGAACATAATTATTCAATTCTATTCAAAATTTATTCAGTTGTCATTATTATATTAATGTTACTAAGAGTAATTGGTTAAAGTCCATTAAATCCAGTCTATGAAAGTGATGTGATAATTTAAATATCATGCTATTTTGGATCATAATCAGGAATATCAATAAATAATTCTTTTTCTACTTATTAAATATGTTATTAAAATAATGCTTAATTTTATGGTAATATATTCTTTCTTATAAAATGTAACATATTAGTTTATTTACTAAACTTTTAACTGTCTGAATATGAAATCTAAAATTCATCCCCTTATTCATCTCTTATTTCTCCAATTGATGAAGGAGGTTATTCAATTTCTAATTCACTTGAATCACTTTCTAAAAATTCTCTTTCTTTATGTTTCATTAACATTTATTCACATCTAGTTCTAATTGTTTAAACCATTTTTTCTAATTGATTTAAATTTTTATCAAACTTATTTATCTTTAAAATCAATTTATCTTTTAATTCTTACCAATTTTATCTCCCATCAACACCTATTGGAACACCATAATCACACAATAAATTAAATAAAGCTTATTTTTCAGCAATAGACCAAGATTTCTCTTCTTCATCATCACTCTATGCTAAATTATCAAAATCATAAAATCCATCAAATTTCTATATTATTTAAACTAATTTTTTCACTCTCTTATTTAATGTTTCTGGAAATGGAAATTCCTAATAATTTTAAGCTAGAAATAATTATTATATATTATAATTTACATGTAGATAAATCTTTAAAACACAAATCACTAGCCTCTTTTATAATTAAATGATTTGTATATCCATATTAATAAACTCCTCTTATTAGATCACTATCATGTTTTCTTGTCCACCAAATAGATGGTCTTTGTGAATAAAATGAACTACTAGGAATGAATCCCAATAAATAATCCCATTTTACTATTAATTTATCATTATTCAATATACATTATGATTTATCTTTTATTCCTAAATTTTTTTATTAATGTTCCTTAAACTTTTTTATAAACTCTCTAATTTTTGCCAACATCAGAATTCTCTTACTTATAGATATCAATTTCTATTTTAAATTTTACAATTCCCAATCCTCTATTATAGTATATTGAATTATTCATACTTTGATTTGTTTCAATATAAGGATCCTCTGGGTTTTCCTCAATTAAATTCACTATTCCAGCGCCTAAATCATAATTTACTAACAATTCCACTATAGATCTAAGAAGAGAATTTGCAAAGGCTTTAATTTCTTGTTTGCTTTTGTTTACAAACTTTAGTTATTATAATTTGTTCCATCTCCCATATCCAAATTATAAGATTAATTTTTTCAGCAATTCCTTCTCTTCTTAAGTCCATTTGGCATATAACACTTTATCATGTACTCTATTAAATTGAGTTTAGATTGCTCTTTATGCTTCATATTTTAAGGGCTCTCTTAATGGGAGGATAAATGTATAATAATGTTTTATTCGACATTCTTTACATGGAATGTATATTCTGCTAAAATTAGTTAAAATAGTTTCTTTTGTGACAATTTAATTTTCAATTTACAACTCTGTATGAGGGATAATTGAAAATTGATAGAGATCTTCTTAAAGTTTTAATTCTCCAATTATCAAGGGATTATTTGGACATTTCATAACTCTAATTCCTCTGGTGGAAGGAAAGTTGGATATAGAAGTTGGAAGAGTTTTAATTAGGAATTCTTCTCCTACATAAGATTGTAATTTTGCATACAACATTGAATTAATTTTAAATATTATTTAGCTTGAAAATAAGAATATTAATAATAATTAATAGANCTTATTTAATGTTTCTGGAAATGGAAATTCCTAATAATTTTAAGCTAGAAATAATTATTATATATTATAATTTACATGTAGATAAATCTTTAAAACACAAATCACTAGCCTCTTTTATAATTAAATGATTTGTATATCCATATTAATAAACTCCTCTTATTAGATCACTATCATGTTTTCTTGTCCACCAAATAGATGGTCTTTGTGAATAAAATGAACTACTAGGAATGAATCCCAATAAATAATCCCATTTTACTATTAATTTATCATTATTCAATATACATTATGATTTATCTTTTATTCCTAAATTTTTTTATTAATGTTCCTTAAACTTTTTTATAAACTCTCTAATTTTTGCCAACATCAGAATTCTCTTACTTATAGATATCAATTTCTATTTTAAATTTTACAATTCCCAATCCTCTATTATAGTATATTGAATTATTCATACTTTGATTTGTTTCAATATAAGGATCCTCTGGGTTTTCCTCAATTAAATTCACTATTCCAGCGCCTAAATCATAATTTACTAACAATTCCACTATAGATCTAAGAAGAGAATTTGCAAAGGCTTTAATTTCTTGTTTGCTTTTGTTTACAAACTTTAGTTATTATAATTTGTTCCATCTCCCATATCCAAATTATAAGATTAATTTTTTCAGCAATTCCTTCTCTTCTTAAGTCCATTTGGCATATAACACTTTATCATGTACTCTATTAAATTGAGTTTAGATTGCTCTTTATGCTTCATATTTTAAGGGCTCTCTTAATGGGAGGATAAATGTATAATAATGTTTTATTCGACATTCTTTACATGGAATGTATATTCTGCTAAAATTAGTTAAAATAGTTTCTTTTGTGACAATTTAATTTTCAATTTACAACTCTGTATGAGGGATAATTGAAAATTGATAGAGATCTTCTTAAAGTTTTAATTCTCCAATTATCAAGGGATTATTTGGACATTTCATAACTCTAATTCCTCTGGTGGAAGGAAAGTTGGATATAGAAGTTGGAAGAGTTTTAATTAGGAATTCTTCTCCTACATAAGATTGTAATTTTGCATACAACATTGAATTAATTTTAAATATTATTTAGCTTGAAAATAAGAATATTAATAATAATTAATAGATAGATATTTATAATTTGTTATATGCAATAAAAATAAATGAATTCTATGGTAAATTAAATTTAATAAATATAAATATAATGTCAAGTGCGAATACTATGAGTTGTCTTTGGAAAGAATCTAAAGAAGCTAAACCATATGTGATGAGTATTCCTATTCCTACAGTTGAAGAAGGTCAATTATTAATAAGAATGGATTATGCACCAATTAATCCATCAGACATAAAATTTCTACTAGGATAATCTTCATCGAATAAATAATTTCCTTGTGTTCCAGGATTTGAAGGTTCTGGTACTGTTGTACTTACAGGTGGAGGAATGGCTAGTTGGGGAATGGCTGGAAAAAGAGTAGCATTCTATACAAATCACGAATATGGAACATATGGAGAATATTGTATTACAGATACGAATTTGTGTATAGAGTTAGATAATGATATTTAATCAAATGAAGCTGCTTGTTCATTTATCAATCCATTATCTGCTATTGGTATGTTAGATATTTGCAAGAAAAACAATGTAAAAGCAGTCATTAATAATCCAGGAGCTTCATAGTTAGGAAAAATGATGAATCGTCTCTTTAAAGAAAGAAATATTAAAGTTATTAATATTGTTAGGAGAGAAGAATAAGTTTATGAATTAAAATATGAATGTGGAGCAGAATTGATAATCAATCAAAATGATCCTGATTTCCTTAAATAATTAAAAATTATGTGTGAAGCTACTTAGGCTTCAATTTATTTTGATGCTGTTGGTGGATAATAAAGTGGAAATATTTTAAATATTATGCCAAAAGGATCCATTTTAATGATGTATGGAACTCTTGATAGTTGGTAAATTGGAGGTATTCAAGCTAATGATTTATTAAGAGATAAAAAATCTATTTAAGGGTATTATTAATATATTCATATTAGATTCTTTTTAAATGTTTGGTTAAAAGAATAAAACAAATTAGAATTAATTATGATCTTAAAAAAACTCAAAAATTTAATTAAGTCTACCTTAAAAACTAAAATTGCTAAAGAAGTAATATAATTAATTATAATATTAGTTTCCATTAGATTAATTTTAATAAGCTGTTGATTATTATAAAACACATATGACTGAAGGAAAAACTTTAATTTGTTTGAAAAAAACTATATAATCCAAAGAAGAAAAACAAACTTAAAAATAAATATAATCATCAAACGGATAATAATAATAATAATAATAATAATAATCAACTGAATAATAATAATAATCAAATGAATAGTAATAATAATCAAATGAATAGTAATAATAATTAAATGAATAAAAGTAATAATTAAATGAATAGTAATAATAATAAAATGAATAGTAATATTAATAATAAAATGAATAATAGAAATAATAAAATGAATAAGAAAATTTAGAAGTACAAAGATTAGAATAAAATGAAGAGTAACATTAAGAAGAATAATAATAATAGAAATCTAATGAAGATTAAGTATTTTAAGAAGATGATGAGGATTCTAATTCAGGATTTGGAGAAGGACTAAATGATTAATTGTCAGACTGAGAGTAAAAGTGAAATAATAAATCAGTCTAAAAAATTAGACTTATTACGTTCTCCTTCTCTTAAAGATTTAAATGATAAACCTATTTTAAGTTTAGGAGCAGTTGGTTTCTTCACAGAATAAAATTTACTCTGTGAAATATCTACATTTGATTCGTTTGTAAAGTTATCTCTGCTCTTAATAACTTTGTTTTTAAGTTATTTAATAATGATATCCATAGAAGTTGCTTCATGAGTTTATTGAGTTTTAAACAAGCATCCTTATAAACTCAAGAATTTTCTCATAGTTTTATTGCTCTTATTTTAAGAATGTAATTATGTTGGAGATAACATTTATAGATCTTTCGAATCTTTTTTATTGTCTAAATCAATTTCTTCAAAACAGTTATTTGATAAAGACACTTTAAATGTTGGTCTTCCATCTTCTCTACTTTTGATGTATTACTTATTATTAGATGGAATAGGACTCTTACTAATATATTAAGTTTTTGTTTCTGGTTTATTTAACCATTTTTTGCTAAACTTTTAATCAAAATAGTCTCTAATCCAAGCATCCCTCTCATTCAATCTCATATTATCAATATATTATGATATAGAAAGAGCTAAAACTTCAGTTTTCACTCTTGCCTTAGCTTAAGTCACTCTTGTGAGATATCTGCATTTCATATTTGTTTAATAAACTTCATAATCTCCAAAAATCTACCCAGTTGAATATAGACCAACAACTATAATGTTTTTTTTTAAATAAATATCTCCTTCTTATATACATGATTATTATTTGTCCCATTTTTCTATAAGTATTTCTCCTTCTTTAATTATATATATAGTATCCCCCTTTTATCCTCTTTTATAAATAAAAGATCCAGCTTCAAAACTCATTTCCTAACAACTGTGTAATAAAATTAATTAACCAGATTAACTCCAATTCTTAAATGGAGGTATGCTTTTTATAAACTATAACTTATCTTCCAAAATCTTTTCTTAATATTACCCTAATACTCTCTAATATGAATCAAAACTCAAAGTGGCAAAAACACATTCAGATTTTGCTATTACTGAAGCTGTTCTTGGAATCCTCTATTCTATTGCAATCTCTCCAAAATAGTCATTTTTACTCTTTATTGCAATTAATTTATATTGTGCATATTTATATTTCAATAAATCTTCAAATTTCTTTACAATCAAAGTTTCTTAAAATATTAATATATACTTACTTTTTTAATGATGATGTAAAGTATCATGATGTTGTTACTCTTACATAGGAATTAAAATAGCTACTTCTCCATCAATTATAAAGTACATTTTTCTTCCAATGTCTCCAATATTAAAGACTACTTCAGCTGCATTTCTGTTTTCAAGCTATAAGTCCTTAAAAATTCTAATATATAGATCATCTGGTAATTATCCTCTAATTTTACTAAATTTATTTTCAATCTTACGTAAAATATGCAAATTCTTTCTCAAAATATTTTTAAACATATTTAGCTTATATGATTGATCTTTTCTCTGGTTCTATATTTAAAATCTGCATGCATCTCTATCTAATCATATCAATATCCTCATTAATGGTTTTTTAGAAAGTATTTGTAACTTTAAACAAAAGCTACTTTCATTTTTCATTATTACATTTGTTTCCTTTATCTCACGTAAATTTCCAATTACAGATGCAAAACGATTATTAGCTCTCATTAATTTTGTATTGATTGTAAAAAAAATGTCTATGTAAATATATTATTGATAATAATTAGTCATAATCATCTATTATTGAATTGTTTACTTAGATAATTTTGAAATCTTTCAATTACTTTAAGAAAATTATAATTTGGAAAGTACCATTCAAAAATCTACATGCTCTCGAATTCTTTTATCAAAATTAATTATTATGCAGACCCAATCAATTCAGAAAACTACCTAATTAAATGATTGCCATACAATTGGTTGTGATTCAGATCTTCTTAAATTAAGACTAACATCATTTTGATTCATCTTTATTGATGTATTGTACATATTAGGACTTTAAATATTACTCTACAATTGTTAAATAACCTCCTTGCTTTATAATATACTTGTTGATGGAGGAAGCTGCTGTTAAGAATGTAATGATGATTTTTTATCTAAAGCTCTTTCTATTGTAAAACTACTACTTATATTAGATTAACGTCTAATTTATTCTTTTGTGAATAACATTAAAGCTGTTTTATTTTATTATTATATTGGTGAAGGTGAATTACTTATTACTATAGAGTCATTATTATTATTCTATTTTAATTTAGAAGTATCATTTTCAGATGCTTTTAAAGTCCTTATTGTTAAAGTTCTATTTATATTAGAATCTGTATGAACTCTTTCTCTCTCTCTTCCAGTGATTCCTGTTTTATTTGTTCTTGGAGATCTTATACTTTATTAATGAGTAAATGTTTATGTAAGATGTTTTGATGTATGATCATCTTCTGCGAATAATTGAAATTCTTCATCTCTTTCTTATTTACCCAAAAACTAATCAATTAAATCTGTATTTTTAGATATCAGATTAAAATTTTATGCCCAATTCAAAGCAGTTATACTTATCAGATTTTGTTAAACTAATGATGAAGTTCTTTTTCTTTCAAATCTTCTAAATTTTATTCTTGGACTTGGTTATGTATAAGTACTATTTGAAATTATTTTCATATAATTTGGTTGATATGATACACCAGCGCACATTTAAGTTAAATGATTATTCATACATATATAACATATCTAATTATTTATAATGTTTTACTTTGTATGCGCAACGTCTTTGTGAATATATAACTTTGTCTTACCACATTTTATATATTTGAAAATCTTGCTCATGCATACATATCAAATCATAAAATTATTCATAGTCTATTATAATTATCTTACACCTTGATCGAGCTGCTATTTCACAAGGAGAAGACAAACAAGCAAAAAATTCATATTAATTTACCAAAGTTAATTTTTTCAATACTTACACTTTTTTTTATTTAATTTATAATGAGAGCTCTCCTTCCAATAAAAAAATTAATTTATTAACTCTCTAATTTTGTTATTGTATGATCTCTCCTTCTTCTATTGTTTATTCCTTTACAAACTCAGATAAATTCTACTGAAATTATTCCGTGAATTATTGCTTAATAAATTGAGACTTTTAAATAATATCCAAATAACTATGTAAATTAAGAGATTTTCTCAATTCTTTTGGTAAATTAAAATCTATCTAATTTAAGTAAGTTTCTTATTATTTCTAACCTTCCACTTCTGACCATAATAATTACCTAACTTAATATTAATTTCTAAAAGGCTGTTTATTCATTGTATTTTTGCTTAATAATTATTCAAAAATCTCTTCTCTCTTTACTTATACTTTTGAAATTTTCATGTATGTAAAAAATTACTAAACAAAGTATAACAAAATCAAAAAACTTAATATTCTATTTAGAGAATCATAAAATATTTTTTAATCATCTTGTCTAATTGTTTATAAATTAAAAAACAACTAAATCTGTTATCCTAACAAAATTTCGAATTCCTATTCATTATCTAATTAGTATTACCAAAAATGTACACTATTGTTTAAATGAATCATCACTATCAATATTGAATATATGAATCTTATAATTTTTTTTGATGTCAATACATTTAAATTTTGCAAAATCTGATAAACTTTTATCACATTTATAATGTTCAGAAAAAGTAATTCTTTATCAAATAATCCACCTATATTTATTCCAAAAATTAAAATGTCTACAAAATTGAAAACCTTGAAATCGATTACTTTGAAGAATGAGTAAATAAATACTAATTTTAATAAAATCTCTTACTAAATATCAAAACAGGTTCAATACTCTTATTATAGATTGGCACTAAGACACTGTATGCTAAAAGAATGAATATAATTATTAAATTTAGAAGCATTCTTTCATAGGAATCTTCTCTAAACAAATTCCAAATATTAGATTTCTTAATTTCTTATTCTTCAATTTATGTATTGCTTCCTTTATCTTCTACAATCTTTTCAAAGCATTTCATTTTGCTTTATCGCTCTTTTTGAACTTTCAAATAATACAGCATTTTTTGTATAAAGATTCTCATCAATCCTTGAGCATTAAATCTAAAAAGCGTTCCAGAAACTTTATAACTAATTTTTAAAGGTTTATTTAAAGATTAATCTAATGGGGAATCAACCTTTTCAGATTCTTTAAACGAGTCCTGTGGACAAATTTCTTTGTAAGTTTACGATTTTTGCAATCCGCGAGTAACTTCTAAAGGGCTTTTGCTTTTACGCTTTTTTAAAGAAACCTCAGAGTCTACATAAATCGATTCGCTCTTTTAATCAATAATTTTTATTCCTATTTATGTTAGATTTGCCTATCGAAAGAGTTATCCTCTTAGAGGACCTTAAGAAAGTTAATTAATCATTTTTTATTATTATAAATTGATCAATATATATATATCAAATATTAGGATTTTTAAATAAGAACATCTCAAATATTTAAAATACATAACAATCCCTTAATTTTTTCTTATTTTTTTCTTTATTGCTTTAATTTATGTAATATTTTCAAGGAAATACAATTAGTTTAAAATATTAATAACTTAATATGAATTAATTAATTAAAATTATATTTCTTTTTTCTTACAATTAACAAACAGACTAAAATTGAGATCAAATTTGAAATGAACATTTTGCACCTTAAAATTTAAAGAAGTATTTAATTTTTCCAGAGCTAAATAATCCAGTATTCTAAATAAAATAATATCTGACATAATTAACGTAATTCTTTTAACTTAAATAGCTATTAATTTAATAATTAATCAATAGAAAAAAATAAACTTTAAGTTTTAAATATTTTCTTGAAAAAAATTTATTATCTTTAATATCCTTGTATTAGTTAAATTATCCTTGTATTAGTTAAAATAGTAATATACCTACAATGAGATGATATTATGAAACCAGATTGTTTTTTGATTCCAAGGTAAATCTTTAAGGTTAAATTAATCAAAATATGATTGATTTATGAGGTAGGGTATTATCAGGTACAATTAAAAAAGGTCTAACCTAGTAGTTATTTAGTTTAAAATATGCTTTTAAAGTCTTAAATAGTAAAGTGAAAAAGTAGTCAAATGCTGACCTTTCAATTTTATAAAATAATTTCAACTATTTTTACTTAGCTTCAAGAATTTTAAAGAAGTATTTTGTTCGTTAAAATGTTGATAAGAATTTTAAAATTGGAGTTATGAATTACTTTTCTGAGAAATATATGTATCTTAAAAAATCAAAAAATTATATTAATAATGAATGAGGGTTATTTTTTCGAATTTTAATTAACCTTTGTAATTCATCTTACTTAGTATAAAATGAAATAGTATTTTTATTGAATTTTTA